TAAACCCAAACGAATAAGCTAAAGGCCCATAACGGTGTCCCCTAAACCGGAAATCTTAAACCTTAAACCTACATGCGCACATAGGCCCTAAACTAAATCCAGCTGAATTGTGTCGTAGTCTGGACAAGCTGTTATATCAGATGCAAGTTAAACTAATATTCACCTGTCCAGAACCGGCATTTCAAGCGACGCCCGCCCTTTGCTCCCTCGTTAACACTGGCCCCTGACTGGCCCTGACCATGCGCCTCGCCGACATGACCTCGACTCGCCAGTTAGTGATGAAAGGCGCATCGAGGTCGTTGCCAACGGCCTCCCTATCTGGGACGGCTCCGAGCTTGCGGTTGTTCGGGGCAGAGGCTGCCCAATTGCTCCGACTCTTGGTGTGCCAGTGAAGCCGTGCCTGCGCACTTCCGCCCGACCGCCATCAATGCCTGGGTAGCGCGCTGGTCCGGCCTCCCGGCAGTCGCCGCGCGGCGAGCGTACTGCCCCCCTGTGTGGTCCCCCGCGCAACCTCTTCTGATGGGCGACGGTAGGCCTCAAACCCTAGCTCGACCGGACGCATCCTGCTGTCGCAAAACGGGCGCGAAAAAAAATGAAATAATAACTATTGGTAATATTATTGTGGCTAAAATATTACTAGTGGTGGTGCCATTAATACTAGTAATTGTGCTACTAACCACAACGACGACTATTATTATTACTGCAACCCCCACTACCCCTACTACGCTTACTACTACCACTACTACTACTACTACTACTACTACTGCTGCTGCTGCTGCTGCTACTACTACCCCTGCCCGTACCCCCACCCTGACCCCTACATGCTCCTGCTGCTCCTGCTCCCACTCCCACTCCCACCCCCACTCCCACTCCCACTCCCACTCCTACTCCTACACCTACTCCTATTCCTACCCCTATTCCTGCTCCTGCTGCAGCTCGTGTTCGTGCTCCGACGCCTACGCCTACGCCTACGCCCACTCCTCCTTACTCCTACTCCTTAATCCTCCTCCTCCTCCTCCTCCTCCTACTACTACTACTACTACTACTACTACTATATTACTATCACCACAACAACAACTACTACTATTACCACCACCACCACCACGACTACTACTCCTGCTGCTGCTGCTGCTGCTGCTGCTGCTGCTGCTGCTGCCACTACGAAACCATAACTACTTCGCGTGTTGCCAGTGCGCGTGCATGGGCGGTCGTGGGCCATCGCCCTTGTGTCGACCTGCGTCTGGTCTGGTCGAGGTTGGACGCGATGCCACTAGGCTCCGGACTCTGGTGTTCACGACGTGCAGCAGGCCAAGAACACCAGCAGGTGTTCGCCCGCCTAAAGCTCGGCCACCGCACGCTCCAGGCCATCAGCAGCAGGAGGAGGAGGAGGAGTAGCAAAAAAAGTAGCAGCAGTGGTCGTGCGTCGTCGTCGTAGTGGTAGTAATAGTCGTAGCGCTTACCCCTCCCGCTTGGCCCGCGCAGTTGCTCCTGCCGCGGCACACTCGATGCTTACGGGCTGCGTGCTCCACCTCCCGATGCGCGGCGCATCGAGGTCGCGTCTGCAACGGCATCAACGGCCTGCCGCTTTGGCACGGTGCACCGCCTGCCGTTGATGCGACCCTTGTCATTGTCAGCCCGGTAACCCGCGATGGACGGCCGCAAGTGGGAGCAGACACCCGCCCGGTTGGGCCGTCCCCTGCTGCGGTCCGTAGTTCGGCCCAGACCGCTTGGGTTCTGCGCTGGAGTGGCCTCATCTCCGTCGCAGCACACCCTAATATAAAAACTGGATCCCGGAGGTTTGATTTTTAAATTAGGGGGGGTTTCGGGTCCTGCGGGTATGAGTCGGAGTGATAGCAATTAATTAATTAGTAATGAGGCAGCCCGACAGTCAGACAGGTGGAGCCCGAAAGCTCTAAGCCATAAACCTCGAAACCTTGAGCCCTAATTAATTAAGTCCCTCAAGCCCTAAACCCTAAAGCTTAATTAAGCCCTCGGCATCCACGTAGTTATATGAGTTCGTGAGTAATTAAATACTTATTTAATTACAATCAGACAGTCAGACAAGTCAACAGCGAGCAATTCCTGCGCAGCCGTTCCGGCTGTAGACAGACCAGACAGTCAGCCTGCCTCGTTTGCCCTAAAGCTCTCGCGTCTCTTTAGTACTGCTGTAATTAATTTTTGCCTCTATAATTAAAGCCCTTAGCCCTAAACCCTTAAACCCTAAAGCTCTGGTGTCTTTAGTATTACGGTAGTCTTCCTTCAATTAAAACACATACAGATCTGCCACCCCCCCTAATGTTGCCCCCTTTAAATTGAATGCGGGGCCCGAACCCGCAAAATTCCCGGGGGGCCGGCAGTTTTTATATTAGGGGGGGGTTGAATGTTAGGGGGAAGCGATTACCTTTGCACAAGCTCCTTGCACACGCTCGCTGGCAGAAGGCTCCTGAGCCCAGCCGCTTCCTTGCCCGTAAGTGAGGCGCGTCCCGTCGCCGTAGACTGCACTTGGCACCGGGAACTGGACCCGACTTAACTCGCAGTCGCAACAGATTGCGCTGAGAAAGACAAAGTCGCGCCGCCCAGTTCTCAGGCGCTTCTGCGGTCCCAGGCCGGGGCCCAGGCGGGCGCTTAGCTTGCTGCGATCCCAACAGAGCCATACAGAGCCGGCCACTACGCTACCACCTGCCGCAATGCAAATCGCATTGCGCGGTTGCGGCAGCCGCTGGCCCGAACCTTGCGGACTTAGGCTGACGCCGCCACGTAGACTGCAGGTGCACCGGGGCCGTGCTCGTACGGGTCGCAAAAAAAAAAACCTTGGGTGGGGCGCAGCAGTCGATGCTTTAGGCGACCACGCGCTTGCCTGCCCTCGCACAGGCCTGCTGGCCAGACGCGCCAAGCTCGTGGAGCGAGCGTTGGTCCGTGTCGCGAAAGAGCGGCAGTACGAGCCTGAGATCGGGCGAGCGGTCTGACGAACTCAGGCAATGCCGAGGACAACCAGGCGGCATCGGTTGCGCGAGTTCGGGGAAAGTTTAAGTCCGGGCCTTGGCGAACTCGGGGACCCGCCCAGCTGCCCCATTTGTCACGGCGTGGTATCCTGCAGCCGACATGCACCGTTCGTCCTGCCGGGAGGGGACAACATGGAGATCACGCACCAGGACATGTGTTGCAACAGCTGCCCCGGCTTCCCTGCAGACAAGCGCCGCGGCTTGTTCGAGCGCACCTCCACGTGAGCGCAAAACGCTGAGCGTAGGCAAGCTGCAGACCGGACAGGGGTTGGGGGCTGCCCGGTACAAAAAATGTTTCTTGTCCTAGTTTTCATTCCCACAGCTGGCGGGTATAGTTCCTGGATTATTTCCAGCTTCGGGGGTTCTACGTAAACTTAGCGGGTCCAGGTAAGAGGCTTTTGGAGCAAGAGGTGTAGAGGGGTTGGTGCCCGGATTTTATCCCAAGCTTTTGGCTTTGTGTATGGAAAGGCATACTCTCGATTAACATTGCTGGAAGGGCGGGTTCGAGACGACTCGGCACAGGGAAGGAAACCCAGGTCCGGGCATAACTCAATCCAACTCCGAGCCAGATTGGAAGCGGATCCAGGAGCGAGTCTATTTTAACACACTTGAAACCTCGGGTGGGGTGGGTTGGGGCGGGGTAGAGTGTGGTGTGATTCGCAACATTCCAAACACTGCGGACACTCTGGCTGGATACAACAGCTGTAGTAGGGACTCTGGTGCTAACCTGTGGGGATGCAGCCCGACATGACATCCAGGGGGCCCCCAGCGGGGTCGGGCCCTTTGGAATTGATTCAAGGGGTGCTGAGGATGCATCCAGCTCTGGTAGCAAAGCCCGTTGGCACGGGCTGTTAACAGCCTGGGAAGCAGCATGCTGCCGTCCACGGCTGGTGTCGAGCAGGCACGGGCTTTTTCGAGAAGCGCAATGACGGTGGCAAATCGGTATCGTTCTGGAGGCTGTGCACAAGGAGGCCCCCAACAAGGGAACCGTCACGTTGTTGTAAAACGGGTATGGTATCCGCCCACGATGCCCAAACTCATGCCATGCGGCGCCTCGCAGGCCGAGGCCCACATGGCGAAGGGCTAGCTGCACACGAGCAACAACCGGTGCGGGCAAACCCTGCGCAGCGTCATTAAACAGTGTGAAGGCACTGTTGTGTCGTGGCATCATGTGGGGAGTTTGCGGAAAGCACACTGTGGCCGAGGGCTGGCGCAGCGTGACAACACTACCCAAGCGACGTGAGTGTTTCAGCAGTTCCGGCAGTTGACCGAGCAGGGCGGTTCGACGGTCGCGATTCGACGGTCGCGATCTCGGGTGTGATGGGGTGCCATAGGGGGCTCCGAGCAGCACGATGCCCAGTTACGCAGGCTCAAGGGCATGGTCACCCAAACACACGCGCGAGGTTGCCGTCAGGGCCTGCGGGATCCTGCGGGCTTCGGCCATGGCCCATCCCGTTTCCAAATGGCAATCTTAGACAGCTTCAACGTCGCGCGGGTAGGATGCGCGAGGTGGCGCTCAAACCGCGTGATGAGAGCACCAACCCTCTGCGGGCTCGCGAGAACGGTGACATCATCGATTCTCGGACGCGCTCGCCCAAGTCCGGCCCGGAGGTCGCCTGGCTTGGAACGCAGTGCTGCACGTGCTGGGCTCTACTATAAGGGGTCACCCTGTTCGACCCTTGCGCCTTGGTGCGTGCGTTGGGTGCAGGCGTCTGGTGCAGGCGTCGTGAGCGGTCACCCTGTTGCCACACGTAGCTCGACGTGCGACCGAGCTATATGCATGCGAACGGCAAGGTTTGGACATGCTTGCACACCTTCAAACCACAAGTTTTCGATAAAGCTTGGCTGTCAGAGCTGTTAACTTCTGCACTCAGCCAATCAGCACAAGTTGCCATCCCAGTCAATGTTGCCGATCTCGCCGCGGAAGGCCCGTTTCGAATATGAACAGCCAAGTCATGGGGTTGGACTTTGCATAGTTTGTTCACGTTTGCGCAGGACATGCCTCAGACATCCATGTTCCAGTCCGTGGAGGCTGCGTGCCGGGTCCTGGAGCGTGATCCGGTGGGCCGCGAAGCTGTTGGCATTTGGCGAAGCATCGAGGCAGTGTAAACGAACTGTAGCTGTAGCTAACTCTTGCAGGTGTTGTAGTCAAGAACATATTATGAAGTGGCATCTAGCTTCCGTTTGGCGCAAGGAGGTCCAGACATTGCCGAGTACGCCGGTGTCGGATGAGCCCATTGTTGTCTTGGAGGGTGCGGATGGGGTTGGGAAATCCACCTTGGCAGAAAACCTCCACCATTCCATGAACGCATCGGTTGTGAAGACACCTCCGGAAGCTTTGGGTCATCTTCGGCGGTATTTCGATACTGCGGATGCGGAGCTCCGGAGGTCTTTCTACATTTTGGGAAACTACATTTGCGCTGCCGGCCTCCGGTGGTTGAATCCCAAACAGCCCCTCATCATTGATCGCTTTTGGCCATCTTCGGCTGCTTACGCTCTGGCTTGCGATCTCCGAACCTTTGCAAGTGAACATCCAGAAGTTGCGGCGATGCCCAAAGACTTGGTGGATTTGCTTCCTTTCGGGTCACGGCCCATCGTCTTCCTGGTCCTGGACCTTCCTGAAGAGGTACCGTCGTGCGTCTAAGCGGCTTGATGACGGTCTGGAAATTTTGAATTGCTTTTCGCTTCTTATGTTCAGTTCAGACATTGTTGTGCAGGTACGGGCGTCTCGTGTGCGCACCAGATCTGGTGTCATTACTTCAGAAGAGGCCATTCCAGCCAATTCCAGTTGCACGGTGTCTTTTCCGGACAGTTTCTTGGGTGTTTTGCAGTGTCCGTGTCGTCGCCACGGTCTTTGAAGTGCCGTCGGCCAAAATCCTGTGATGTGATGGCTGGGGGTATAGACGTGCTTCCGAGACCACACCGAAGCATCGCGGCCAGAGCACGGTTTCCACCCCGCAAGCAGTTGTGGAACTTTTGTCTTTCCCCTCCAGCCATCCGCTAGTTTTCTCATGCTCAGTGAGTCGAGGAACATTTATTTGGAGTATATATGTATATAATGTATGCATTCATTATAACAGGTTATATTCTATTATACACAGTGCTTCGATGCTGATTGTACCACCTCCAAAAGAATTTGGGAAAAGAGTTCGAAAGGACAACCACGAACATCTACACCATCTTCGGAGCCTGTTTAAGTTCACAAGACATCCGGAGCTCTTGAAGCGGGAAGACTACACAAGTTCATGCATGTGAGCTAGTGTAGATTGGGCCCGATATGACCCAAAGAACGTCTGGTTTTAGAGCTTTGCTCAAACTGGAGGAGTCCTTGGAGCGGGATGCAGTACTGCGCCAACGTTTGGCCCGCGCGTATGCAGCCCTGCGGCTTCCAGAGAGCCAGGTGAGAGCCCTGGGAGCAGTAGCTTGAAGGTGCAGATTCTGATGTCATACGCTGGACTCAGTACTTCCAAGAATGTGGGCTACCATGTGACATGGGTGACAGACAGCCATGTGACACCTCATGTTTCCGGTCGCTTGATGATGCTTGAGGTCATGTCCTTTCTGGATGCTTCGGGCGGCCAAGGCCGAGATTGGTTGAGGGCTGAAGCCTTGTAGCGGGTTCCTGGTTTTCAAAGTGGAAGGAGGTTGCATGTTGTGCCGTCAATGCAGAAGCCCTGCAGAGGTCCTGTAGGAATTCGGGCAAGAGCTTGAATGAAGCAGTGTGCATGCTGTTCCGCAAACGGGATGCTCATCTTATGTTGCCTTCTCAGTGTGGCCAGGAGATGTCTTGAAGCGCGCGCTCGCAATCATAAGCTCGGCGAGGGAGGAGTTTCGTCCGTCACCGGTGCCACTCTCCGTGAATTGGCACTACACGAGGCAGCGTCGGCAAGCCTCGTGCACGGAGTCAGATGAATAAATCATTCTTTTGTGATTCGTGAGGTTGTTAGGGTTAGCAAATTGCAAGATCAGCTGGTGGCACCGATTACTGCCATTCTTATCTTCGGGTGAGAGTCATGCAGCACCTAAGCTGGGCAATCGGTTTTCGTGGGATTCACCGCTAAATACCCAACTGCGTAAGATGTAACTGTAGCCCATGCCCTTCCGGATGCCTTGGAGTCGCATTGCAGGCAGCAGAGTGGATTGCTGTTATTGGAGCATTGCTACCCCTGATGCCTAGACGGTTGTCCCCTGCTTCACCCGGAATTCTCAACGTCAGGCAGTGCAACTACTCATGCAAGTTCTGCTTCCACACTGCCAAGACGTCTTTCTTCCTGCCGCAGACAAAGCAAGGCATGGACGAGGCGAGACAGGCGACCCAGTGCCGAGCTGTTTGAGAAAACTGGGTCTCCTGAGGCGAAGCAGTGCTTGCGTCGTCTGCAGTGGGCGGGCATGCAGAAGTCTACGGCTCAGACACGCGGCCGGTGCTTGTGCCTGTGCCACACTGCGATTGATTCGGGGTTTGACTGGATTTAGATATGCCGAGGCTGAATTTCAGTGGTGGTGAGCCATTCCTACACGAGAAGGTCTCGGAGGGGGGCCAAGCCAAGGGCTCCGAGAGCTTGCCCTTGACAACTGTACGACAGACGCAGGAGCTTGGAGAGCTGTGCCGCTTCTGCAAGGAGGCCGGAAAGCGCCTCGGCACCACGCAGACTGTGCGCTTCTTCTGTTTCTTCTTTGCAGGACCTGGCCCTGGAATCCGTGAGCATTGTCTCTAACGGCAGCAAGATCACAGGGGACTGGATTCGAAAGCACGGTGTCTCGCAGAGGAATTCTGCACATTCTGGGCTCCTGTAGCTGCACGCTGTCTGTGATTTGGGATGTGGACATTGCGCACCTTTGCGTGTGTGCAGAGGTAGCTACGTGGACATCCTGGCCATCTCCTGCGACTCCTTCCAGGAGGAATCCGTTATCGCTGCAGCAGCTGCTCGTCAGGTTTCTAAATGCGTTTTAACATACTGGATTTCGGGCGGTTAGCGATGCAACATAGCAGAGATATGGAACGATGCAAGCAACCAGTCTGTTCTGTTAGATCTGGGGTCTTCCTCGGGCAGGAGATCAACCTCAAGATCGGGCGTGGCAAGGGCTCCCACTTGCAGCAGCTGCTCGCCTTTGTTTGCTGGGAGTGCGACTGCCCGAGATGCTGCGGCGTCCCAGGCTGGAACAGATCCGGCAGTGGTGCGAGGAGGCCGACATCAAGTTCAAGGTCGGCGGTCGGCAGCATCCAGCAGCCACTCCAGTCCGTGTATCAGTTTCCGCGCATCCCACCTTGGTTTGGTCCTGATCGTAACTTCAGATGTTTTTCCGAAGCAAAATCGAGTGAGTAATGCACTATCCGGATCCGGGCCAGAGCCTGTCTCGCAGGTGAATACGGTCGTCAATGCAATGAACATCAACGAGGATCCCAGCACTGACAGGCAATCTGTGAAGCTTTGCTAGACATCGGACAGGACATGGGGGACATGATCCGCCGGCTCAACCCGGTCCGCTGGAAGGTTTTCCAGTGCTTGCTGTTGGAAGGCAGCGCTGCTTGTTTTAAACGTCGCTGAGGGGCCTTCCAATCTGGACCGGAACGTCAGAGAATCCCTGTGTGCAGGAGAAAATGCTGGTGAGGAAGCTCTGCGCAACGCAAGGAGAGAGAGCGAGAGCGAGAGAGAGAGATGTGCTAGCAGGGCAGTTCCATGAGAAACCTCCCCCGTCGGGGAATGCCCTGGGTATGCTGTGGCCCCGCAATCTGTACTTGACCTCGTGGCAAGGAGGCTGACCGTTTCGTCCGAGGCGTTCCAGGGCTTTCTGGACAGACATTCGCAGATTGACTGCCTGGTGCCGGAAGACAACGAGAAGATGAAGGATACCCGTTCGAAGCTGTAGATGAGCCAGAGAATGTGTCCGCATGTCCGTTTGCATTTTGGAGGACTCCTACCTCATTCTGGATGAGTTTATGCGTTTCCTGAACTGTGCTTGGGCTTCGTGTTTATGTGATCCACAGTCCCGACCAGCTTCTGTCAGAGCCCAGACATGCCCAGACAATCCACTTGAGGCACTGGTGGCGCAAAGACACCCACAGCATCTTTGCGAGACGTGCCGGTCATTTCGGCATTGAAGGGTGCAGGCACGCTGAAGCGAACCATCATCGAGCTGACTTGCTCGCCTTCGGATTCCTGTGACTTTCCAAGCTGCCGGGAGGATTCGATTCGAAGATGTTTCACACACGTGGTGGAGTTTACGACTGGACACGGCAACGAGCTGCTGGATACGTAGGCGAAGGCCTGCAATCGTCATGAACGTGGCAAGTATACTGTACACTTCTGTCAAGTGTCTGCTAACTTTGTATTGGTATCGCACACGATTGAGGCTTGTCTTTTTTCAGTGACAGCGTTGTCGTTTCAAGTTGATTTCTAAAGAACCTGGTAAGTACATGCTTGTGTGTTGCATTGCATTTTCAAATTTGATGGATGATTCCAGCACTGAACTTGGCATTTTGATTTAGTGGTGCAGCCAAACATTTTACAGACGGAAAAGCATAGCTCCATGCACTATCGCAAGCTTGTCTTTCCACCCGCCCACCTTATTGGAGAAGAGTCGGGTGAGCAGTTGCACTGCTGGCTTCCTTTTCGTTTGTTGAGGGTTTATGAGGGTTTTAGGGTTTTGGGTACGCTGTGCATCGGCTTTTGCTTCTCAGCCCGGTGCTGCGAACCCGCGGAGCGCAGCTCCGAGTTGCTTTCTTCTTGCTTGCAGTCGCAGTCAAAGGTGGAAGCCTTGGAGACGAGAACGAGCGAGGAACAAAACGCCCAAATGTTTTTCGACCCTTAGCCCTTTCTCTTCTGTCTTCTTGCTTGCTTCCGCAATGTCCGTGGGAGGTGCTGACCTCGAAGACCTAGCAGGCAGCCGCACAAAGACGCCTCGGCGAACGTTGTTGAGGTGGCCTTCCAGCTTCTGCTCGACGCACTCTGAACCCTCTATTTCTGCTCGTCCGTGTCACGGTATGCTTGGGAGGGAAGGTGGAAGAGCCCTGGGCAGGACTCGTGGTCTCATCAACTCACCGCGCCCTTGGGGCCAGGCAAGGCAAGCACTGAGCTGCAAAGTATGGGATGGATGGAAGTGCGTCTTTTGGCCAGTGTCGGGATCGGTGCAGGTGCACGTCCTTGCTGCTGCGGCACTCATGGCCGCTAGTGTGATGATCGCCGTGGGCAGCCGCTCACGAATGGCTGCTGCGCGATGATCCCGCCGCAAGAACCAAAGGTAGGCTGCCTTCTGCATATGGAGTGCAGAAGCAAATTTGACGTGCCCTTAAACATGCACATCGTGGTACAACATCCAGAACTGCGGAGAGATCGGTTGTTTCACATCTCCACCTTGGCCACTTTCCCTGGTCCGGCTGCAATGCGATCATGGTCGCCTGCTTTCCGCCTGGCTCTCTGTGCGAGAGTCACGGGAAGCATGTCATGCATCGCATTGCAGTGGTGCTACGGAATTGTTTATCAAATTTGCGGGTCACGGCGCATGCAGACCCCGTTTTTCTTCGGATCATAGATGTAGTTGTGCAAGAAGGTGATGCCGAGCCTGCATGTGGGAATGTGGCAGCAGTTGCCCAGTCGGCTCCATGTCGTGCAACGACCTTGCACCTTGCACCCATTGTGCTTGACATGGAGACAGTCTGCATGCTACGTTCGGCTTCACTGTATTTGTCGGCTTTTTGCATCATTCTGCATCATGTCTACCAGGGTCCGTTGTGTCCGGAACAAACCCAGTGGTGCGTGTGGAGGTGCGGGACCTTATCTATCATGTCACCATGTCTGTCATGCTGTGTATCAAAAAAGGGACCTTCACCTCCCGTCCATCTTGAGCCAGGACGTGGTAGTCCTTGACAATGCGCCAGCTCTTTCTGCATGTTTACCCTTCTATAGAAATAGGTGCACGTTATGTGGTGGCTTGATGGGCGTAAAATGCATACAGAAGACATTAAGGAAGGGACAAGGATTTCGGGAACGTAAAACAGAGGGAACTAGCAAACCCACCCCTGAAACTTAGTTTGCCTAAAAGAGTGGTTTCGCAGATGAAGCCTGAGTCTGAGTTAACCTGCAGGCTGAACTTTCAGAAGCTTACCTTAAGATAAAGTGCCACGTTGAGCTCTTTCGCAAGGCCCAATTCCATCAGGCTGCAGCCAGAAAATTCAGTCCAGCTGGATCTTGCACTGTTAGATTAGACGAACTGGGGCATGAAATGCATTTCCCGAAGCATCTGGAAGGATTTGAACGCACGTTGGGTTTCATTAGATGGTTCGGTCGGTCGTAGCCCAGCTGCACGAAGACTCCCACATCAGTTTGTTCTTCTGACGTGTACAGGGATGCAAAAGCTGAGCAGGCTCTTCATCCACCGTCAGAATGGGATGCCCAATTTGTTAATTTGTTGTAGAGTCAGAGATTACGCAGCGAAGCATCTGAAGGATTACGAAGGGAGTAGCAACAGCCAGGCCAAGCCAGTCAACAAGAAAGTACTTCCTTTGCAAATGTTGCGCTACCCGAGGCATGCGGTCAGTCTTATGTTGCAGAATCTTGCTAGAGCTTGCGCTGTGAAATGTGGCCCTTCCTCCCAGAAGGGGGGGAGAATTGTGTGTCCGACCCCAAATCGCGTCAGTTGAGATTGGATACTGCGCTGGTTTCAAGCATTAATAATTTTTCCTGAGAGTAGAATTCAATGGTATCTCTGCGAAATGGAGGCATACTGTCTGGTCTCTGTGGAGATCAAAATTACCGTTTCCGAACGCCCCATGGACAGAAGCGTGGGCGGGGAACAAAATGCGTGTGGCCTGGTTCTGAGGCTGTCTTGTCGAGGTTCTCAAGTGCTATCGCAACAACGATTGAAACAGGGTCCATGTTCTCATTGGCTCTCGTCAGAACAGTTGATGGCTCTCCAAGACATTTTCCGAATGCTTTTCTCCACGGCTTGTGCACCTGCGGCAAACGAGGGTAATTGTCACACATGCCCCTACAAACTCTACATGTGAAGGCAGCAGCGTCACCTCAGCGTGTGTTTTGCAGTGTCGCCATTACATGAAAGGGGTGTTCGATATTTGTTGCACAGTGTCGGATAGTATTAAACTACAACAGAGACAAGAAGCCACACGAACAACCGATTGCTTGGATGTCAGCCACTTGAGCCTGGAATGTTTCGCTATGTTCAATCGCCCCGATTGCCCCAAGTCTTGCCGACAGTGCCGGCCGAACAAACCTCGGCTACTTCGGGGAGCTGCAGGCTAAATTCTAAATAAATCCGGACGGGATAATTGCAAGATTACGCCCTTCCGTTCATTTCCCTTCCAAAATGCGCCAAAGTACTTGGGGTTGGGTTGTACAATGCATTCGGCCAGAGGGCGGAGGCGCCACCACATACCCAGTGCCTCCCGGGCTCTTGCATCTCCGCATGTGCCCCCTGATGATTCCCGTTTCAACTACGACTGAATCTGTGGTGGATGATAGCGCCTGTGTTGTTTAGGTACTACAACTTTGGAATGCGCTGTAGCGCAGTCATGCCCCAAGTGGACACCCGACCAGTTGGTGTTGGATGCATACCAAGTTCGGTGGTACACCAGTAGTAGTCGGTGTATGATGGTGTTCGTTTTACAGCATCACCAGAACTATGTTTGCGGCCGTTTGGACGGTGAGACCTCCCAACAGATATTGCAGCTGTCGGCGGGATGGTGCTATCTGCGCAGGCTGAATGAGCCGAGAACTTACAAGACAACGTGCAAGCCCTGTTGCACATGTGCAGATGGCTTGCCATTTGACTGAAGGTTGGTTTGGTTGGTTCGAGTCGTCCGGTGGAGATGAAGAGGCAGACCTCATCAAGGTGACTTTTTGATTCTGCGGCCAAGTTTTGCATGTCCGTTGTTCGTCGATGTCGGAGGTCCAGAAAACGGCACAGCTTGGCAATCGGAGGCGGCTTTGTAGTCACTAAATTCGTTGAAGGTATCTGTCGCAGTATGTTTTCGTTGTGATGGAGCGAATCCAAAGCATGGGCATTTCAGGCGACCGGGGCGACCCATTCGCGCACACAACGCGAGCATTGAAGGCAAGTCGCCACCATGCCTTGGGGTTTGTGGATTGTCGTGATAAAGATTTGCTCAGGTCACCCTGCGCACGCCCCTCGGGGGGCTGCCATGGGGCAAGATTCGCTTTGCCGATCGATGTTGTTCTGCCACATGTTCATGTGAGCAACCAACTCAGACAATCACCCGGAGCATTACACACACGGATGTGTGGACAGGTATTGACCTCCATACCAGGCTCGCCACCAGATTATAATTTGTGTGATAACTACGTTGAGGACAGTGCCTGTGGTCTTACCGGATCCATAACAATTACGACAACCCTTGCATTCCGAGCAGGCATAGTATCCGCACTCTCAGTAACGAGTAACCTTTTGGATCATGAAAACCTGTATGCATCTGGAAACTCACTCTGCCTGGGGAATCGAAAGTGTCTCTGAGGCCCGGCTATGAAGCCAGCCCTGCCTTGAGCAGATCGTTGAAGGCAACCTCTTTGTGGCCCATGTGACATGTGTTTTTCCCGAAGCGTTGACTTCCAACGAACACGAGCACAGGTCGCCACAGCGTGTTGGCCTGAAAACAAAAGGAGTTACCGACTGTGTGGTCTACAGCGCGTCGATGCAGCAGCTTCTAATGCACCCATGCTGCCACTAACTAAGGCCAGGCCGGCAGCAAGCTGAACGTGTTTTTGAACCTCTGTCTGCACATAAAGGCATTCCAGGTGCTGCGAAGTCGTTGTCGCTGAGAATCGCAGTTCTCTTTGGAAGCTTCCACATGCTGAGTCGCAATGTCCCTTTTCTGACTGAGGTGAGGGTGTACGACCTTGGGAACACCTTCCTGACACGTTGGCCCAATGCGTGACCTGTCGGCTTCAGAAGATTCGCCCATAGCACCAGATTCGCATCGTGCTCTGAGGGTGGCCAAAGGCTATGGTGCGTTCCATTCTGGAGTCGAAGTTTACGGCATGGAATGGTGCGACTGTCAGGAGCACAGTCTAAAAGTCGGTGAAGTCGCAACTACATCTATGAGGTCGTTTGGCATGACTGCTGACAACTGGTCCACGGGAGTTGCAGCCAACTTGCCTGGGCGCCAGAGTGTGAAAAGTGAAGCCACGGGTGGGTGCGTCATCGTTTCTGGTGCGAGGCCAGGGCACCATCCAGACCATTGCTTTCGAGAAACTCTGTCAATGGGCATGTGACTTGGGGCCTTGAATCGGAGAAGCGGAGGAACGCGACAGCCGGTGCTCCCGGCGCCGAGGCTGCACCAGCTTGTCCAAGGGCCAGGCCGCGAGCTTGCCGAAGCGTCCGGCCTCGGGCCAAAAGAGAGGTTTTTTTTTCTGCCCGAGGTCACAGAGATCATTCGAGAAATGACGGTAGAGTGGAAGGGCCGGACTTACGATGTCCGCACCTGCGGCGCCTGCTCTTCATTCATCTAAAAAATGGCTCGCTAAGCAGGTACTATCCCGGAACTGTCATCATTTCTCAGATGTGCCATGCTCAGCAAGCTGCCGAGAAGCAACGTTTTGAATTGTCGTGTGGGTGATGATGTCTCCTGTTTTCGATGTTTAGATGAATCCGCAGGAACTTTGCCGGCGCCTGGGGGTGGCACCACTGCCAGATTGGGTGCGCACCTTGGGTCGGCGGTGTCGCTGAACTTCTCGCATGAAGTCGGGCAGCCATCGCAACTGAACAGGTGAACAAGCTTGCAGGAACAACGGCTTCTGCAGCTGGAATGCCGCAGCCTTGTTATGCGTGATCCAAACCCGAAAATTGAAAGCTGTTATTGATTATGATGTGGTCGCTTCGTCAGGATCGAAGGCGTTTCGCAAAGCACGGGAAAGATGGCATCGGACGTGTGCGTTTCTCAGTGCACGCAGTCGCTCTTGTTTGCTCTCCGTTTGATATGACTTTTCATTGTTATTGAATTCACACTTCAGGGCTTGGCTTTTCACATCGGCTGCCGGCGGCGTGTACAGCGCGACCCCAAATCTGCATCAGAAGCGTTGTGAGCCTGTGCGTGGCTTCGGGCGTCTCATGGACTTGTCATCTCAGGTTTGGTTGCACCGACGTCTGCAGAGGTGACGCTGAATGCCAATCTCACATTTTGCCTCTCTCTTTTCGTTGCAGGAGACGTTGCACCAACGTGCAGGCCGCACAGCAGCAAGCTTCTTGAAAGCTGACCTCGGAATTGATTAATCGGCCTACAGCCTGCATGCTGGGCCTCCGACGTCTTCACATCATGTACTTCGCGTGCTGTCCATGCGCAAGGTGTGGACGACTTTGAGCTGGTGAGGAGTTGCGCTCAGTGTGGCTTCGTGGAGAGCTGGATGTGCATCAGAACACAGTTTTGTGGACGAAAAGGCGTGGATCTGCCCCTGCTGAACTCTGGCGACGCGAACGATGATGCGCGAAAGTCGGATTTTCCTTCGAAGGTCTCCCACGGAATCGCTGAGTAGACAAGGCGACTCAAAGGAGAGAAACAGGTCAGTAACGATATGCACAGGGAGGCCTGTGTTTACGATATTTTGCGATGATATGATCTACGTCATGTGAAATTCGGTGGTAGGTAATGTGCTTAGCCGTTCTACCACGCTGCCCAAGGCGGCAGGAGTGAATTCTTGCAAGAAGAGGCAGGGCAATCTGAAGGTTTCTTGTCAGGCATCGAGAGATTATCGGGCGACGTAGGAGCAAGTTTATCTAGCTGTGATGCATCCTACCGTGGCTTGTCCTTCCTTTGGCTTGTTCGGCCACGGTCTACGCTAGCCCCAAAGCAGGCGAAGACCATACGGCCTTTGTATGCTGTGTTACACCGGTGCTGCGTTCGCCAGATGCGGCAGGAGGCGGTTTCTAGCAGTTAGCGGAAATCTAGCAAAATGCTGGAACCCGAGCTTGCGGAACGGACCAACTCCCACCACGCATTTTAAGACAAAGATTGCTCAAACTTGCTCATCCTGTTTTCACGAGAGGCATTGAGCCTGTAGGACAGACTGCTGAGCCATCCCATCGCGCCATTATCAGCAGCAGGTGGGTGAGCAAGCATCATGAACTCGACATATTGGGTTGTTTTCTAAGTCATCGTTGCAGCTGCGGAGCCAGCCTCGAGCGAATCATGACTATCAACCTGCCATGAGCCGGATTCTTGAATCACAGGGGTTGTGAACTGAAGCAATAATATACCAGTCTTCAAACCACAAGGGCTGAAGGCTGTCTCGGCGGGTCTCGACGTAGCTGGATCATCTATCACGGGCTCTGCTCATGAGACGGGGGACCCAGCGCATGCAGCTATGCTCTTCTGATCATGGGCTGGGCAGTCTCTCATGTCAGGGCTGTGCGGAGGGGTTCTCAAACTGATTTCAGGGTGCCGTTGCCAGAAACCCTCGTTTTATCACCTGTTTTTCAAGGCTGGTTGTCGTTTGTGCTGGACTTACAAGACTTCCCGATGCCAGTCGACACAGGGACGAGTGCGAGTACCCAGGCTGCATATTGCTTGAGTCTGCATCTTCTCTCAGGCCGACCAACGTCGTGACGACAGAGGCGAGTCGACGGATGAAGGACAGGTTCTAGAGCATCTCAGGGGAGATGCAGAAATCTTTTGCTTTGCTGGTCCGGGAGGTCCTATGATTTCTGGTCAGCAGGCTTGATGGCGCATGCCTGCCCGGTTTCGTCGAAGTGAGAGCAATCAGCACTATTCGTCCTTCGTGAAGCCTTCATGTTGAAGACCTGCCGCCCACTTCTGTGCAAATCTGCCAGCTGCAGGTTAACTTGACAAGAGACTTGAGCAAATATTGACCCAGGTGAGTTCGGGATGGAGCCAGCTTCTGCTTACCAAAATGTATCATGGGGAGTAGACCATTCCGTGATGTGGGAGTCTAGGATCAACTAAAAAGGGGCTTGGATAGCTGTGACTGGAATGCACCTCCTCGTTTAGCTGTGTGGGCGCGATGGGCCGACCCTGGATGTCCGGCGATCCCACCGATGACAAAGAGCGCGCCAAGCGCCGCACGCTCTAAAGCATAAAGCCCGAGCCAAGAAGTAGTAGTAGTAGTAGTAGTAGTAGTAGTAGTAGTAGTAGTAGTAGTAGTAGGAGTAGTAGTAGGAGTAGTAGTAGTAGTAGTAGTAGTAGTAGTAAGGAGGAGGAGGAGAAGGAGTAGGAGTAGGAGTAGCAGTAGCAGTAGTAGTCGTAGTAGTCGTATGATTTTTCTTGCTGTTATTATCATTACTAGTATTAGTGTTCGTATCAATATGATGACTATAGTGGTATCAATGTTAGTAAGAATCATTGTCAACATTATTGTTGTTCTCATTTTAATAACTGTTGAGATTGCTGTTAATATTGTTATTGTTGTTGTTATTTGTCATTGCGACTATAACTGCAAGTATTTTGGTTAACATTTTTATCGTTATTACCGTTAGTATTAGGCTTTTTCAGTAAGTTGTGTTTTCATTATCTTTACTATTAGTAGTATTCGTATTAATATGTTATTGTTATGATTAATACATCTTTATTAATCTCACTATTAATAGTACTTTATTTGCATTGTTGTTTTACTTGTATTTGCTACTATTCGTTTATCAGTAGTACTATTACGACGACGACTACTACCACTTCGATTATTTTTCTGGCTTTTATTCTTAAACCTGGTACTACTAGTACTACTACTACTACTACTACTACTACTACTCTCAGCCATGCAGGAGGCAAAAAACTACCTCACCACCACCACCAATCCAAGTTTTGTTTTTGTTTGCTCTCAGGAGATTAGGGTTTTCCTGGCTTGCCAGTCATGTTTGAGGCCTGGAGCTGTTGGCCGACCGGGCGCGGCGTTTCCGCGAGGAGCTTGGTCGACGCCTGGAGGGTGCTCAAAGGGAGGCCGGGCCGAGGGGAGCTACGCTTGCTTCGCTGGGGAGTTTGAATGCAGAAACGTGCGAACAGGTCGCCGAGATCGCGGAAGCGCCCCTCGGCGGCCTCGGGGTGGCCGCTGCGACTGTGGAGCTGATCGAGGCCTCTGATCCGCTGCTTGCTGGGGAAAAGCGATTTCCCCACCAGCGGGAGCATGCGGAGGCAGGTGAGGGACTGAGATTCCATGTGGTACATACAGCTCGCTTTATTCTGGAAAAGGGAGCTTTTCAGGAGCGTTGCGAAATCTTATTCTTTGGAAGGTTGCAAGGTTGCAGCATGTTGCAGCAGTTGTTTTTCGCAATGGATCGGCCCTGAGAGGCCCAGCACCATCCGACCGCATCTGAGACCAAACTCGACCCAGAAGCAGAGGCCACAGCTAGGCGTGGCCCAGTACGCGGCTCGAGCTGCAATCCTGGTGGACCGGCGGCAACGGGATTTTGTTGAGTTTGATTCCTAGACTTTCACAGACAACAAGAAGGCTTGCGGTAAGGGTTGCTATTTACTGGATGCCGAAGCGGGTTTCCGAAAATTGGGGACCCTCATGTAGCAACCGAAGTAGTAGGATCCTTATTATAAGGACCTACCTCCCTAGTTTTCGGAAACTCCCATGTTGCTGAGGTTCCAGTGCTTCCCCTGGATGCTCTGGCTCGGTGCAGATCTGCATCGACTCCGCTCAGCTGGCAGCGGAATTTGCAGCTCGGAGCATGTCGCAAAGGGGATATGGGAGTTTCAGAAAATTTTTGGGGTGCCTTATTTTGGGGTCCTTACACTTTGGGGTACTATATTAAGGTCCCCTATGTTTGGAAACTACCATATCTTTATTTCTTTATTTCGATATCTCCATGCTAAGCATTGAGGCGGAGATGGTTCGAACGCGGCAGCACCTAGCGCTCAAAGTTCTCCTGTCGGAGGAAACCTTTCTAGTGCCATGCTGCGCAGCGAGGCGCGGATTGGCTGTGCTTCGCTAGCAGCTGCTGACCACTGTATGTGGGTCCATGTCAGCTTGTTCTGTCCGATGCTCTGGCAGGGATGGAGTTCTGGTGTTCAGCCATATGTCCTGGCATCCGCTGCGATCCCTGCGGTCAGCAAGACTGCAACTGCTAGCGGCTCATAGCTCCGACTGTGTACAGCAACTTGGCAACGTGCAGTTTATCGCGTGGCATTCCACATTCCACCGTGTCGGCTTTTATCGACTTCTGCTACTTTCATGTACTTTCCCATCGAGGGGCTTGTTGGGGGTATGCTTCAAGCACGGCTTCAAGAGTTGTTGGCCGTAATGGCATACAACTCTACCGCAGATCGGCTAAGGACCATGAAGGAGCCCTTTGCCTCACATCTCGTAGTTCTGGCCACAGCTGAGCTGCCACAGCAGGCTCGGAGACCCCAGCATGTTGCGTTCAATGTTGGCGTCGTCAAAGCAAGCATGCACCGCCAGAAGTGCTGCATTCAAACTCCAGGTTTCGCAGATTTCAGGTTTGAGATGGAAGAGATGTTGGAACTTGCATTGGGCAGTGTTTTGGGGCGGGCTCGGTGCAACCTGAACATCAGCTGCATTAGCTAATCATTAGCAGCTTGTGATATGCTTGCTGATGATGCTGCTGGCTTTTCTGCATGGTACACTCTGGCATCTACGGGTTTTGGTCTGCTACAACCACTTTCAATAATTTTTCGGTGATTGGGCTGGAACAGCAGCGCGGCAGGTCACGTAGGCATGCCATCTCACTAACAAGCCCACAGAGCCTGAGCCGTAAAAGTGGCGGAGGTAGGGGGGATGCGCATCGCAGGTCCTGCAATCCTTGGCGCACGCGCGCCTGGAGCTGCCCTTGCAGGCTTCTTCGGGGCCCCTTGGCCAGTAGCAGTAGCAGCATGCCTTCCAATGCCACATAGTAGTACACATATATGTAGAGTTTATATGTATATGTACACATGTTTATACACATACTTGTATGTGTATGTATCAGAAACTGGATAAGTATATGTATACGTACATGCGGGTGTATATGTACATTTATTTTCTTTCTTGTTCATCATTGGTCTACCCGCCTATCTTTCTATCTACCTACTTACTTACGTATTTATTTATCTGTCTGTACATACATACGTACACACACACGCACATATATAATAATAGCAATAATAGCAATAATAGCATATATATATATATATATATACATGAGTTTACATGCAGATATGTAAATATATCTACAGGTATGTAGATACAAAGATATATAGATACATAGATAATTAGGTACAGATACGTGTATATATGTATATATGTATATATGTCTATACGTATATACGTATATATGTATATATGTATATATGTACATATGTATATGTCTATGCAGATAGGTAGCTAGATGTGTCTATTTGTAAGCATGTGTCTATACACACACATATACGTATAGAAGGATACTACAGAGATAGATCGACAGATAGATAGAGCAGAGCACGACGGATAGTCCAGCCAAGGCCACATGAAAGCCCTCGTTTTGTTGGAAGCATCTCGGCAGCTTGGGCTGCATGAGATCTTGGGGGCTTCGGCACGTTGGTATCGCGCGTTGCAAGGTCAAAGTGCTTGCAGGCAGTATGCAGGCAGGGGTATCCTTTGGTTTTGTCCAGGTGTCGCTGGCTTTGAGCTCGGAGGAAGTTAGGGCGCCGCCGATGGACGGTGCTTTGGAGCCCAGTGGGGTTCACCTCAAGGCGGGGACGAGACTGATTTAGGCATATATTCCGGTGGCTTACTGTACCGGTCTTGACATTGAGACACTGCGCGGGGGGTTCGTGGTTCTGGCCGTCGGGCCTTACTCGGAGCCAAGTCAGTAGCTGGATTAAGTCCAGGTGCTCAGGTACTCACGACAGGGTGTGGAGAGGGAGCGCATCAGGGCGATTCAGGAAGGGCTCACGGCAGGATCGGATGGAAACATTGAGCAACAGTCAGCCGCGTACTTGTACAACCTCCTTGCCTCGCCTTACTATGCCGTAGGGACATGTGTGGGTGCGAGATTTGCAATTGCCCGATACCCAGAGAACCCAGGCCAGAACCTGAGGCCTGGTGGATTTCGCCACAGACAAAGGCAATCTCATACTCCGAAATTTTGAAGACCTGAACCCAGCAGGTTTGGCTCGAAGATCTGTGTTTGCGGCTGGCTTCTCTAAACGGCGTCTTTGTCGTCTTGAAGCTGGGGCCGGAGCAGGAAATGGTCGTACATGTGTCCCAGAACGACCAGAGAGCAACTCGCCCCGTGGTAAACCGTATCATATTACATAGTACATGTTTGTTTTATGTGACGCCACATTCCGCGCTGCAGTGTCTATCCTATGTCAGATCTCTCTTTAAGAAGCTCTGCGCTTGAGGCAGAAGGAGGGGACCTGGTAGGCCGCCTTGGCTTCATGGCCGTAGCGGAGCACACAGCTTGGAGAGACCAGAATGCATGAAGCCATGTGTCTTGCTCGCTGTGTTTTTCTCTTCCATGGCAAGGGCTGGTTGAAAATCCAAGGCTTCGACCTCGCTCGGAAGATCCTCATGGCAGGCCCAAATCCAGTGACCTGGCAGAAGGCATGCAAGGTGTTGTGTGAGACATCTGCGTACAGGGCGCGTACCGAGGAGAAGCTATTCTTCCAAGTCTGGAGTGGGCAAGAGCTTCTGGGTCTTGCAGGCTGCGAGACGAAGGTGAATGTTAAGGCTGTTACGGACTTCGAAGGATCATGTGTCGCACCCCGGGGAGCCAGGGATGGAAAGGGTGGGACTGTGCATCACACGGGGTAAGTCCTTACTGAGATGCTTCATGGAGGCCTGGAAGTACCTCCTCTTGATGAGGATGCAATGAATGAGCTTGCGGAGCGCGGGCGTCCCTGCCGAGCCCTCGACATGGTCTTGATGAGTTTCGATTGTGGCATAGTACATATGCAGCCGATGACAGACCAGCTCGGTCTCATGCCGCGGGGTGCGGGTTGAGTTGGCCCAATCTGGCCGGTCCTTCTTTTTTTCAGAGCGACGGGTACATCACTCATGAGCCCTTGTTGGACTTCAGTCTGAAGCTTGAGTCAACGACCTTTCGGTTTTGTGCACAAGGCGAGCAAACGAAGTCGTCAGCTAAAGTGCATGCATCAGAGTCAGGTGTAGAGCTGCTGGCCGTGGAACTGCCGGTGCAAGCGACCTCCAACGGTGAGACGATTGGAAGCCTTCGCACGAAGATCTTGGCAGAGTTCACGTCGCAGAGGCGCGGAGAGGTTCTTCTTGTGTCGACGGCATTGCAGTGAATCGGCACTTTGGTATGCTGTCGCCATGGTGCAGGCGGGTGCATTCTACAGTGGCTGCAGCTCGCCGAAAGCACACTTCGTCCCTGTAGAGCAATTGTCTACGTTGGAGACCCGTGTTTGCCAGCGATTTGACGGGAAAGTTATGTGCGATGCTTGCTCCATCGCTGTTGAATCCTTTTGACAAGCGACCGGTCTTGCCAGCGACTTGGTCATGAACTTTGAGGCAGTGGCAAAGGAAGCGGAGATACCGGAAGAGCATCGGCAGGCTCCTGGCGAGCTTGCTGCTCAAGGCTGCATTGAACTGTCGGCGCCACTGTCGGACAGAGAGGTGCCTTCATCGACAAGAGTCGCGTCTTCCATTGTTTTGGTTTCTATAGGGTTCTTGCATGTTTGGTCAGTGGTTGCTCTGAAACATTCTGCAACCATAGATAAGCCTCCTGCTTTCATGCCAACGCGCGGGATTGGAAGGATTCTTTCCTTGCTTTTCGCCACATCGACCATCCCGGACAGGTTGCGACTTGGTTCAGGCACTTCTTTGCGCATCACCTCGCGGAATCTTTGCATATCTCCCCTGACCGGATACGCGTCATCAGCCCCTTGGCATGCAAGCACACCTGGCACGGGTTTGAGCTGGTTTACCCGGTGCACTCTGTTTCTGCTGGTTGTGCAAGGATTAGACGGCAGAACCTTGGTCTTCGAGATCGCTCCCGGGCCAAGACATGAAGCTCCTGCAAAGGATGCCCTAGCCGAACTCGGGAGGCAAGGCAGGCTTGAATCGGAAGGGCCGCAGTGAACTTGTCGTGTTGTCGTCGGACGATGGAGCGGAGGCAGCTTGCCGTTCGAGAGGGGCCGGTCTGGCACACTGACCTGGCCAAGCTGCTGGCGGAGTCTGCGCCCGAGAGCCCGGTGTGCGCGGCAGTAGACGATCGTGGCGATGTGCTGTTGGAGCTGCCGAGGCCGATGGATGCGGAAGGCCCTCGAAGTGAACGGCCTCCGACGGATTCCGGCGAAAGAGAAAGAGGTTTCAGCCAAAGGGGCACCGGCCCGGGCTGGGGTCCGAGAGCTGCTGCTGTGAGGCGCGGACAGCTTCTAGGCTCTGGGCGTCTGCAGAAGGTGCTCTGCCTTTTGAATTGTCCAGGGCAGAGCGGACGGAGCTGATGGGAAACCTCCAGCAGAGGCTCTTCGAAGTGGTGCGACATCCGTCGTCGAAAGTCAGAGCTGGTTTGCTGTTGCTTGAAGTGACCCTCCTGGAGTGAAGAGGTACATGCGTCCGGTGTCGAAGTGAGCAAAGCATTCACCGTTCTTGACACAAATCGACGACACCTCAGTATGAGACGTGGGTCGGAGGTGGAATGGTGCGGATTGCTTTCTTTCTCTATGGTGCAATCCAGGAGATGGCCTTGTGGAGATAACTGACATGGTAGCTCTCCTGAGCCATCTTGGACTTCCTTTGCCAGAGGTGCCGACTTGCAGATTCTGTTCGCTTATGCTCGGATGTCGCCTCGTTCTCTGAGGATCTCCTCCACTTGGCAGGGCATCTCTCCAAAGACGAGGGGTGCCAGGTGGACCTGTTGGAGTTCTGCAGGCGCGAACAGCTCTGTGTCAACAGACCTGTGCAGCGAATATCTGCTGGGCAGGCACTTCGCGGTCTGGCAGTCCGCGCGTCCTCCCCCTGCCCTCGCTCCAGCTCCAGCCCCTCCGCCCTCAGCTTGGGAAGCACTGCGACTCCGCGCAAAGTGGACGTGTTGAAGAAGTGAAAGGATAACTAAAATGGATAGAGATTCCAAACAATCCTCCGCAATCCCTGTGCGCAAAAACCATGCCGTGGGTGTCCCAGCGTTCGTGTGGATGCTGTCAGTCTAACCGCATTCTGAACATGTCGGCAACAGCCACGTGCCTTTGAAGCCTTAAGCTCGGGAAGGTCCGGCTGAGGCTGTGACAGTGCGGTGTGTGCTGTCCGAGGCTTTTACCACAGGGTGCGCGAGCAGAAAGGCCATGGACTTGTTGGTGGTGTACAAAGACACACAGTCACTGCTCGTCCGAGGATGCATTCGAGGAATGTCAATGTTCGGAATTGTCTTGCAGGCGCTTGCAAATCAAAGACTTGCCTAATCTTTGCAGAGACCTGTGGCCTCGCAGGGCCGAGGTAACAGCCTCATTCCGAAAAGCTTTGCAGGCTCTAATACCCCTCTCAGACTTCGTGCAATGCAGGTGTCTCTTGCTGCCGACCTACTTCCTCTATGCACTGTTGGATCCAGAAGCCACTGGACGTGTTTCACCTGAGACCTGGCTCTGCGTTGCGCAGAGATGTCTGGGTTTTGGTCGCCTGGCCCATTGATCCGCACGGCACGTGTATCACCAAGTCGCTGACTTGCGCTTTACGCTTCCGGCTTAGGGTTGGTCACCGAGACAGAGGGTATGCATGAGTGTGGAATTCTGATGGCCTCTGCATTCTAGGTGCCGACGCAGCGGCTGCCACGTACGGCTTCTGTGACCAACATGGAATAGGTGCCGGTCACAGTCAGGCGGAAGAACTTGTTTAGGCACTTCTACCTCGCACGAGATGGAGTCGTGTACACAGTACGACCACGCAAAGGCCCCGTCAGTGTGTCAAGACAAGCCCGGACTGCATAAGTTCGCGTTTCGAGATGCCCACAGGCTTGGAGTTCGCTTGAGTTGTGCTTGTTTGGGCTTGCCCAGAACGCAAGCCGTTGAGCAGTCAAGCAGTTCATCAGATCGGCATACCCATGCGTCGTACATTCATGTTGGGCCTTCACGTCGCAAAGCAGAGGAGCACGTTGGGGCCAATCCACCACACGGCCCAGGTGCATTGACCTACCGAGACTTTCGCCGCTACGTGCACCGTGTGGATGAGTTGCGTGCACAGCGCCTTCCGCCAGAGGCGCTGTCGGAAATGGAAATTCCGTCGACGTTGTTGGCTCAGCTCTTCTTTCCCGATGCTGAACTGCTGGGAGGCCTGCCTGCCGATCTATGTTTTTCGACAGGACGTTCGGGCAACCCTCGAGTGCTTTGGCAGCAAGGGTGCAGCATCTTTTCCTTGAGTCGCTGTCGGGAGCAAAATAAAGGCTGGCAGACACGACCGTGACTGGTCCCACAGAGCCGGTAAACCGGCTTGCGGCCGTGGCGGCCTCTCTTCAGCGGCGAGGACGAGAGCTGGACCACGAGGCAGGGTTAAGCCACATCACATGCTCTCCGTGGTCCTTGGTCAGCTTGTCAAGTACACTTGAGTTGGCATGCTCTTGGCAGGTGAATGTTTCCGGGCTTGAGGACTGTGCAACAGTTCTTGAGCAAATGGGCCAGCTAAGATGCGTTTCATCAATCCGTTTCATCAATGCACGTGTGCAAGGGCTAAAGTTTGTTGAAAACATCGCATGGACAGAAGGTGATGACCCATCAAGGCGGTACTAAATGTGGGTTGACCACGCGAGAAGTTGCAGATGTAAATAAATACAGAGCTTTCCCGGCCATTTGGTAGGCAGTGAACGGACTAAGTAGATGTCGACAAAATGCCGAGACCTTCATAGATGTATATGTATAGCCAAAGTTTGACGTGTGCAAATGCATAGACACTCTGAAGATCGATAGATTGATCGATCGATAGATGCGCTTGTGCTGTGTATGTCGATGGTTGACGCCGCTTCCTGAGGAGCTCTTGTCGGACCTACGACTATCCCCGCAGCTGGCAGCACACATGCTGGAGTGGCAGGAGCTCTGTGCCTAAACCAGTGGTTTCCTGTTAAAGCTGCCCACGTCTGTCATGCATTCTCAGGGTGCTTGCCTTTGACAGCTTGTGACATGGGAGGAGTCTATTGCGGCGGCAGTGTGGGCATCTAGAGGCAAGAGTGCCCAGCCGTCGTTGACCTACCGCGGGCTTCTTGGCCGAGCTGTTGAGAGTACGTGGTTGGTCCAGTGATGCCCACAGTACAGCGGTCTCCAGGCTCTCTGAACAAGGTTTTGTGGATTCCTCTTTGCTCGAACATCGAGGTTTCTATCTCTGTTGCGGCGTGCGCATGCTCTTGTCCAGAGCCATCTTGACGGCCTTCTGCGTGCCTGTCTCGTGGCCGGTGCGGACTTGCAAGTGGCTCCACAGCTGCACTCGCAGTAGGGAACGCCACATTCGCCGTCGTGGAACTAGTTATGCATAGCCTGGCATCTCCACCTTTTAAAGAGCGAGCGAGCCTTTCCACGTTCTCCGATAACATCTCCCAGACTGTCCACGCTTCGTAATACTTGGTAGGCTCTCGCGGCTGGTTGTTGAAATCTTGCCAGAGGTGCTGAGCTTCGCGCTGGTGCGGCCCAACCAGGTCCAAGCTTTGCTTCGAGACTGCGCAGCGGTCTTTTCGGCGCTTGCAGCTTAGGCCCTGTCAGCGGAAGAGCTCGCTGGTTCTCTGGCTGCGGCCGGAGTGGATCTCGCCTCTGTGGATCCTCAGGACTACTGGAGTATACTGGAATATCTGGAATTTCCTAGGATGTCTCGCCTGCAGCACGATGCGAGGGCCCCGTTGCTCGCACGTCGTATGGAGGATGTACTCCTGGCGCTGGACCCCCACTGCTGCAAGCAGATCTACGCTCCAGACCTGATCCAATCATTCGTCATTTGTCTGAATTTCGGGACATCCTTCGCAAGCAGGGCGCCTCGACTGAAGTTGCAGCATCAGCCTTGCGCATATTTCAAGAATAAGGAGACATTCCGTGCAAAATTCGGAAGCATGTTGAGCTCTATAGCTGGACAGCTTGGCCGGCGTGGCTTGTCACCTGATCAGCTCTTCCCTGCTGCAGTGCTCAGTCAGCGTCGCGTGGCTGCATTTGTCTCTTGCGCGGAAGATCCCTGCCCTGGTCAATCTAGCAGAGTCGCTTAGCCAAGGAGGTGGATGAATGGGCAGCTGCAGATGTGTAATTCAGTGATTGTTTTTTGGAATTTATATGAATTTACGCATGTCCTGATGCCGGGCACATGTGCCCAGAAGTTGAACTGGCATGCGCATTTGCGCTTTTCCAGCCTGTTCAGCAACCACGGCTTCGCAGAAAAGCAGTGCAAAATCAGCGCCGCTGGGCGACACGTCTTGCGATTGACGTGTTGCAGGCCGTAGAGCCCAGAGGCGCGCCTCTGGAACGGTCGACCGAGCTTCTGAGGGAGCCTGTCGGGCTGGTGAGCAGGCAGACCTGGACCTGACGATCCTTTCCTGACGGAGGCGGCGAGTGCAGCTTCTTTGGGGTCCCTTCCCTGTGGGCCCCACAGGCCCGTAGGCCCTACGGTGGAGTGCTGCGCCGTCTCTTGGAGAGGCCTTGTCCAGCGCGCCGCCGAGGCAGGGTGCAACCGAGTGCAGTAGCGCTTCGGCATGTTGTGCTGGCCTTGGAGGTCTGTATCTGGCGGGGTGCAGAGAGTGTACAGGGAGCGGGTGTTGGCTGGCACCTCGTTCAGCTGGGAAGGCCCACTGTGGCAAGCTTTAGACCCATCAGTGGCCAGTAAGGTGCGAGTGTACGATCTTGGACAGCCACGGCCTCAACAATACTACGAGCAAGCTCAACTGGCCTCGAATGCATCATACCTTAGAAGATGCTATGCCTCCAAGTTCTTGCAGCGGGGCAAGACACAGTTTGTTGCAGTGGATTTGCGCAGCTTGACAAGCTGAGGACTGTTTGGACCAGACGCTTGGCTCATGTTTCAGTCGGGTTAGTTAGAGACAGGTGCAGCCCCTCCAGCCCTCCATGCACGCTGTGGTGGGTGCCGAAGCTCATCTGTCGGCACGCCAGGATTCCACAACCAGCTGACAAAGAACTACGGGGCCTTTCACACTGGCGTCGAGGCTACAAGTAAGTCGAAGGAGCCTGAGATGAAGACGAGTCTGCAGCAGTGGGCAGAGCGGCTCTTGCACGCGCATGTATGGTTTTAGCCATTCTTGACAGCAGCATTTCATGCTCCGCTCCCCGGCAGAGACATGTAGGTAGGCCAAATCCGCAGGAGCCATGTGAGACTTCGATTTCGATTGACTTTCCCAGCCTTGTCCGAGTATGGCTGCTAGCAGCAGCCTGTCTCCACGGTTGTGCCCCTTGCACCTGGCACATCGGTGGCTGATCCAGACGACACGATGGCCAGAGTGCCACGCATGCTGCTCGGCGTTTGAACATTTGAACTGCCCTACAGCTTCTTCGTAACATGTTTCTTGGTCGGGGTTTAATGCAAGTACGAGTCCACCGAAGCTGCCCAGGAACACGCAGCAGCTGAGAACCGCAGCTTGATCGTCAGCAAGCGGCGGTCTTCTTCACCTGCCCCTGCTCGATGCTGCCGGCGAAGCCGGCATCCGTTCAGAAACGGGGGAACGGACTCCACGGGACCTTGCCATGATATCGTGGGCCTCTGGCAAGCTAAGATGCTTTCGCTCTTGGCTTTTCGAGGCGACTGCGGCTCAGGTGGTGTTTTGAGTGGCGGAGTTCCGGCCTCAGGATGCATCGAACGCAGGGCAGAGCCTCAGCCGGGCAGGTTGCGTGAATCAGAGGCTGCCGGAGGCTCTGGGATCCCGAGGACGGCAGCTGGGAGGAATTCCGCAGCCGCAAGAGCCCTCGAACAGAGTTTGGAGCTCTAGAACAGCGGCATTTTGAGACACCTCCTTTATGCTGTGCTCGAGAGACCGGATCGTTTCCAGGCTTTCAGAACCTGAGCGACAGCACTTGGCCAACACGACTTGGTGGTTGAGTGCTACGCTTCACGAGGACGGGTGGCTGTCGGCAGCCGCCGTCTCGGAGGTTTCCCAGCGTGTGGCTTTGGGGGAGAAGCTTCAAGCACGAGAGCTGGCGGGCATGCTGTGGTCTTACGCCACGCTTTTTCTCACAGGCGAGCTGCTTGCGGGAAGGTTGGCATGGGAAGCCCTGAGGGTTGGTCCAATCGTCGACTCCCAAGCCTCGGCCAACACGCTCCGGAGACGTACTGTCTCGCGAGTTCACGGAGCTCAGAGGCCTGTGCTGAGCGCACTGGCCTCTGCACGTCGTGCGGCCTTTCAACCACGGCACCTTGCAAGCAGGATCTGGGAAGCCGCAGTAGCCCAGCTGCCGGAAGCCGCCATCCTTTTCGGGGAGAGCTGCCTTCTGCGAGCGACGGAGCTCAATGCCCTGGAGCTCTCCAGCATTCTCTGGTGACCCGGTAGATTGCAATCCCGCACAATGCCGGTGATCCACGCTCTTGTGGATGCCGCGAGCCAGAAGCTTGATTGGCTCGGGCCTCAAGAGATCTCCAACATGCTTTGGAGACCAGCTGCCGCGGTCCTTGAGAAGGCTTCGTTGTTTCATGATGTGGCAGTCGTTGGAATCCAGAAGCCGTTGGAAGGCCAGAGCTTAGCTAGCATTTTCTGGTGCCTTGGCACGACACTCTGCGCTGGCAGGCTGGCTGTAGAGACCACTTCTGCAACCTTCGTGACCTCTGCCCACACATGTGGGCCGGTAGAAACTGCTAACATTGGATGGGCCGTTGGCACACTGCGGCACTTCGGCTTTGCCGTCCTAGAAGTCTTGAGCCATGCAGCCGAACAGTTGAGTATGAATTTCGCACACCAAGAGCTAGCATCCATTGCTCGGACGCTTGCCGTGTTTGATGTCTCCCGAGAGCCGCCACTGACCGCACCATGCAACGCTGGATGTGAAGCAGTTCTCTGCATGGATGTGCGATGCCTTGCAGGCATCTCTTGGGCTTTTGTGGTTCTCGTAACCAAAGGCGCTTGTACCACCCGGAGAATCTGCGAGCGCTCTAGGCAGCTTCTCGAAGGCTCCCCTGACGAGTTCTCTGCGCAGAGTCTCGCATCCATGGCGCAGTTTCTTTCCTCTTTCGATTTGGGCCAGAGTCCGCCGATGGACCAAACCGTCAGACTGTCGTGCAGTGTTGCCTCCAGCTTCCGGGACACCGAAGCGGCTATGCTGAGCTGGTCGCTTTGTCATTCTGGACGCTTGGAGCTTTGTTGGAGACTGATTGATGCTTATTCTGCGTCGCCTAACGAAGGCTCCGAGGATCGTGATCGTGCCGCCCTGGCTGTGGCAGCTATCGGCCCACTCCTGGCAGCACATGGATTGGAGGGAGATGCTGAGGGCTTTGCAAAGAGTTTGAAGGCCTTGGTCTCCCTCGGAGAGCTTCCCGGACTTGTAGATCCAAGTTTGAAAGCCGCTAGTATGGCTCTTGCGGAGCTTGGCCGGGCAGACGCTGCCCTTGAGTCGCTGGCGAATCGAGAGCCTGACCCTCTTGCGAGGGCATGCGGCTTGTACATAGAATCAGACGCAAGTATGATGGCCTTGCATGGGAGCTCTACAATCATCGCGGCTTCGGGAGTAGGTAAGGGCAGTATGACTGGGATGAAGCTCTATCTCTTGAACAGGTCTATGGAAAGGAATGGAGCTTCGGCATGTGCATTGACAGGTATGCGCAGGTCTCCCAGAGTGACGTCTGACGTAGCATCCTGTTTGGGTCTCAGAGATGCTGTGTGTCCGAGGCCCGGGATCACCTGTAACGAGCCCGGCAAAAACTTAGACCATGCCTTTCGAGAGACGCTTTCAATGGGTGGCGGCCTCAGCACATGTAACGAAGCAAGCGATTCTGCAGGATGATGGCTGGCATTTCTGCAGGCTACACTCGATTTTCGCCAACAGAAGTTCGCAAAATACTGGAAGTGACGCGCCTGGCTTTGTGATGTTTCACAACATCCTCGAATTTCGACTCTTGAACACGAGACGGCTCGTGGAACCTTAGGAAATGGAGAGAGAGTGGAAAGGCCGCGACTATCATGTGTGTGCCCCAGGCTGGATCACATCCTTGTCATCACGGTTTTCATGTTTGATCCGTCTGCTTCCCCGAGCCACGTGCGGAAATGTGGCCTGATGTTCCGGGTGGACAGAGGAGTCATGCATAGAACGATAGGTTTGCAGGCAACAGAAACGGCTATTACGAAGCAGAGTTCGGACGGTCATTTACTCGAACGAACCTGAGAGAAAGTAGGAAAGTTGTTCTATGTAGACAGTCTCTACGTACTCACATTCCTGTTTGATTTGCCTGTCTGACTTATTCTTGTGGTTCGTCATGGTCCATCACATGTACGCCTGTGGCCGCGTGTGGAGAGGTGTACTTCTGTGTGACCAGTTTATGTTGTACGAACGGCTTTGAGAGTGGATGTTTAGCTTGGTCCGTGCCAAGGTTCTGACCAAGAACTGCCATCATTTCTCTGATGCGTGGCCACCCTAAAGAATAGCACGTGTGTCTGTGCGGACGAAGCATGAGCACAGATCAGACACATGATTCATGATTCTCTGAGGTTTTGTGCACGTCTGGGTGCGCCACAGCCCTCTGACCCTCTGCATGCTCTGTTTGGGGGCTGTAGCAGTGTTGTAAGCGCACGCTGTCTCCGCTGTGTCGTCCTGAGTTTCTGCGACCGTGTGGGTTTCACCTTCAACGTGCCTGTGCCGGTGGAACGGAGCCTTTGCTGCTCAGAATAGGCGCAAAGGGATTTTCCCCGCTGCTTGAGAATGGCTTCGGTCTGAGGAAGAGGAAGTGCATGCAGAGCAGCGCAGCAGCGCAGCAGCAATCCAGCATGGTCGCAGCACTTTGAATTCACCAAGGCCAAGTCCCGAAGCAGCATCTTGGCGTTGGCCACCTTGGCAACGGGCCTGTCGCTGCCTTGAATGGTCACGGTATGCCACGGCGTCACAGTCGTTCTTCGATGCAATGCTCCAGAAGAGACTCATTCGTTGGCCCTTGCCGTCTTCAGGTTGGCCTTAGTGTGGAGCATGGACCTCGGCTTTGTGGTCCCACGCAGCACCATCGCCAACCAGGCGGTGCCTTGACGGGTTCGTGTGGAGAGACCATAGGGCCAAAAAGGGACTGCGGAAGGCCCCTCCTTCGAGTGCTTTGGTGGCTGGCAGCGCGGCCTTGCTTGCGGCCGCCCCGATGCCGGCCTATGCGGGAGGCAGCCGGTTCGGTTCAAAAGGGTGCCGGAAGGGAAGGAAGAGATCGGAAGAGTGGAGCTTGGGCGTGGCCTCTTCAGAGGCATGTTCGACTTCGGACTGACACTGCCCTTTGTGGCGGTGTCCTTCCTCACCTTGATGGCAGTGCCTTGGACTCCTCGGCGACTGCTCGGAAGCTGCAGATTCAGCAAGAAGCTAAGGTGCTGAATGCGCTTTTCTATGCTCCAGTGTCCGAGGAGGTTCCGAGCATGCAGCGATGCAGCATGCATGTGATACATCTGAGACTTCGTCTTTCAGTTTTGCCCTGCCCAACGAACTGTGCACAGATCAGACGTTCTAAGAAGCCTCGGGAAAGGCAAGCCCCAAACAAAATCCTTCCCCAATCTCAGACTCCTCTTCAGACCACCCAAAAAACCCGACAGATTTTGACGATCGCTTGTCGCTGTAATGCTCTGCAAAGCAGCGCTGCGTCGACGCAGTGAAGACCTAGGAAGTTGCCAGCACACACTAGAATCATCGGCACAACTTTCACAAACTTGCAAAGGAAGGCTCGGCGCAAGCCGAGGTTTAGCAGACTGCTTCTGGACTCTGTGTCTTCAGACCTCTGTTTCAGATTCGTCGTCTCTTTTGCTGTTTGCTGTGCTTCGTTTTAACGTTTAATGATTCTCTCCTGATTGCTGTACAGTTCTGTATTTTTGATTGTCGTTTCTCATTCCGCTGGTAGGAAGACAATGGGAGGGTCTGGGCCTTTGCAAAACCAGACGGCAGTGACCGGTCACACAGGAGTCAGGCCGTCAAGGGCCGGTTGTGTGCTTTTGTACCAGCACGTCCCATAGCAGGCCGAATCCGAAATTCGTGGTTTTCAGGGACGCCAGCAACATGCTGTAGGTTCACAAGTTTGAAGTTTCGTGGCTAGCCAGTGCCAGTCAATGTCGCGGGTTACGACAGAGAAGACATCGGACCAGAATTGGCCTGAGCAGGCAACTTGCAAGATCAAACAAGGCCAGGGGCTATGGAACGGATACTATGCAATCGGAAAACCGGCAAGTACGTGAGGTATTGTCAGTATGCTCTTTCCCAGAGAACCGAGCAGACATGAGAAGACTGTGCCGGAAGCTGCAGGTTGAAGAGCGCAATGCCAAGCTCCTACAGACCTTATCGGAGGCCACGGACATGCTGGCAGAGGCTGATGAGATGCAGGCCGGCATTCCTTGTGCCGTCATAGAGACAGCCGAGTGCCGCAGGGTACCTGCTTGTTGTACTTGTAGCGTTCAGTGCACCATGCCAAGAGATGGTGCTCTGAACCCTGCATCGAGCTGGTGGATGTGCCCGATGGTGCATCTGCATCCAAACTCGGGAAAGTCCCAGTCGAGTGAAGACTGACACGAAGAGGTGCAATACACCGCCGAAATCAAGGAGGCTCGCGAAAAGGCTGCACAGGACTGGACTGGTGCTTGCAATCGAAGAATTTGCTTGCGGGTTAGTTTCTCTTGGCTGTGGTACTGGCTGAGTGTCAGGAGCTGGCAGATGCGCGAGCAAAGACAGAGGCTCTCATTGAGACCCAGAAACTCGCCCACAAAGATCGGAGACGAAGCGAGCGCGTGAGCGGTCTCCCGGACGCGCTCCAGAGCGCCTCGTGTGCTCAGGCTGGCGGCTGCCGCGGATGCGCGCGAGAAGAAAGCCGCTGAAGTGAAGGCCAAAGAGACAAAACAACGCTTGGCAGACGCGAAAAGGACCTGCGCTGCCCGCCATGTTCCGGAGCAGCCTCGTGGAAGGTGAAGCTCAACGCAGAGATGGCGTCCAAGATCCAGGCTGCCGAGTCTGAGATCGTGAAGAGGAAGGATGGCTTCGTGAAGGCAGGCTTTTCCGGTCTTCGAGCGTGGGCATGCGTGGGCTGAGAAGACAGCCATAGTGGCATAGCTTGGACATACTTGTTCTCGCAGTTACGGTACGATTCATTATTGCCGCCTTCGTTTCCGAGTCGTCGCTTTTCTATCGCCACTCAGACATCTCCAAATGATTCGTTGGTCCCTGAAGCTTTTGCTGCCGGAGAAAGGGCGAACACGGATAGATTCTCACTCCTTCAGTCCGAAGCTTGGGATGCTCAGCCATCCAAAGGTCATCGACCGGGCGTCTAGAGCACTTCAGGGGTTAGAGGAGCGAAACTGTTCTTGCACCTCCGGTCCGAACCTTGTGGCTGGGTTGGATCGTGCGGGACTGCAAGGTTTACATAGGTTTACTATAAGGTTCTTACAGTGAGGTTTCTGTAAGTTGTCGATTAGAAGTTCCAGAGAGTGGCTTCCGCTCGCACAGCAGTTACAAGCAGTTGAAGGAATGTTTCTGCAGTGGTTGCGTGTTTTTGCAAGATCGCGCCTGTCGACGCCGTCATGCGCCGTCGCATCTTTGCATGTCCTTCACTCGCACAGCAACAAACCTTGTCGCACAGCTGCAATACTGCGTCGCACGGGCCAGCAAATACTAAAAGACAGAATAGAAGCAAGCATTGAAGCTTCCTCGAGCTGCTGTAGATACTTTACTCCGCAGGCGACGCTGTCTGGAGTGGGCCTTTGAATGGGGCCTGTTTCGGAGACTTGGGCAAGCACATCATGCCGTCATGCGAGACTTGATTGGCACAGCTTTCGCGAAAGCGAGGACGCACTCCTGAGTTCTCCATGCCCGCCCTGAGCAGTGAGCAGCGATGGACTGAAGCTTGCGTTCGCCACGGTTGCGAACCAGGTGAGACAGGCTTCAGAAAACAAGATCAGTTGCAATGCTCCTTGACAGTCTTTCTGGGCAGCATGATTCCAGAACTGCAAAAAAAGAATTGCATCCGTTGGGCTCGAGCCGTTTGCGTTTCTGCTATTCCTAGAAATACCCGGAGCCACTCGGCTTGAAGAGCATCCTGTAGCTGCAGGCGATGTGAATTGGTCCAAGGTCTCATGGGCTCCTTCAAGTCAGGATATCCTACGTCTGACGTCACGATGGTCGACTCCAAGGCTCGTTAAGAAGTGGTGGCTGCAGAGCTGACCGTGAACGTGGCCCTCTTCTCTCTCGTGTCAGGGTACAAAGGCGCTGCAATGCGAGAACTTATCGTATTGTTTCTCGGCTTGCACCGCCTGGCACGGAACGGGCTGGGGCACGGGGCGGAACCATCACGCCGGTAGCGCTGAGGTTACGGCGGAGGGGCGACAATCCACGACAGAGCTCTCAGCGAGCCGAGTTTTGCCAACATTTGTCTTCAGCTTCAGCTTTAGTTCCTTCTTTATGGCATGAAAGCTCTTGAAAACTATCCGGCGAAAGGCAGCACACTCGTCGGTTCGCTGCATTTCCCAAGGAAGCTCATCGATGTGAGCTGTGCCTTCGAAGAAGGCTGCCGAGTGCTCGTGGTCGGAGGCCTCCTGCATACCTCTGGATGTGGATATGCTTGGTGATTGGTTGCAGAATAATCAAAGGGGGTTCTGAATAGTAGGAGCTAGTTTCTGGCCCCTCAGTGTTTCACGCTCGCGGCTTGGCTGCAGGCAACGGGGCTGGCAAGTCCACCCTGCTCTCGATCATGGGCGGCAAGAAGATGATCCCTCGGAGTGCCGCGGGCTCGGAAAGTTTTCTGCAATCCCTTATTCATTCTAGCACTGTCTGTGCGGGATTCTCTGGTCCGCAGCAATCAATACAACTAGACTCTAGGTGTGGTGCGGGTGACAGAAGATATTTAGTGTGGATGACCACCTTTGCGCATGATAGGCGCGGTGCGAACCAAACTCTCCTCATTAGGTAGACGCCATGTGAAAACCCGAGCAAGGTGCAGGTGAGGTGAAACCCGAAGGTACAAGTATCCCCAAGGTGGATGTGACAGCACGTCGTCTGCAATCCGTGAGTCCGTTAGTCCGCCCCACCTCAGATGAGATCTGCCTTGAAGAACCTGGCACAGGACTGCAAAATCTTGGGGAAGCCCGTGTTCCACGATTCCACCCTGAATCTGGAGCGCATGTACTGTGCTGAGCTCAGACGGTTGTGCGCCTGGTGCAGCGGCCGGAGTTTGATCCATATTATACATAGATAATCATAGATAATCATATATATATATATATATATATATAAACCCATATAGGGCGCACCCCTATTTGGGGTCCCCTTCGTTTTTCGCTACATCACCTGACTGAGCTATAACCACCAGACTAGGTTATAACCAGCCGATTAGGTTATAACCAGCCGACTAGGTTATAACCATTCGAATAATTTATAATCAGGTATACATTATCGATATTTCAGTTTTTTCCAACAAGCGTGCTGTAGTCATTAGTCTGGTTCAGTCATTCCTTATCGCGAACTAAATTTTGGAACGAAAAGTTTTCCTTCTTTGTACTGTAATGCCGCAATCCCATCAAAGTCTCTGTTGTTGGGCGCATTGCTATGACGTTTTGGAAAACTGATAGCTTTCAATGACATATCCCTGTGCCCCTATGTGATTGCTTGTAGACACTGGTATATCCGGTAGGTATATTTGAGTGGTGCATTCCTTATTTCTGTATGACGGCTGCCCCAAGCCAAAATTGAAAACTTGCACACTACAAGCTTGGCAAACTTTGTACAGTGTTTTTCCTGGGGGACGACATGAAGCGTCGCTTCTTAGGCTTGGCACTGTTTCTATATGCTCAGTGATGAGGCCTGTGCTTTTTGTATCAGCATACCTTAACCATCACGTAAAGCTCACTGAAAACCATAAAGCTACATCTAGCTTGTCCGAACTTCTGTTTGTGTTCTTGTGAATATTTTCTGAAGGTCGAACAGAAGCCATTGTTCCCAATCCAGAACGTGCTCCTCGTTTTAGAAAAAGTGGTAAACACACACCGAATCACTCCTCGAAAGAGGTACATCCATGTAGTTGGAAATAGCATTGCAAGGAATTTTCTACGTACCGAGCGAGGAAACCTAACAGTTTGCAAGTTGCAAATCGCTCACCACACATATTCTTATCAGTTTTGTCTCATCGAAATCCTGCTTCCTTGGAACGATGTTTGAACATAACGTTGCAACCAGTTCGCCTATGTACGAAGTGATGAAACCTGACCACGCTGTAAGCTTTGATATACTATCTCTCCCTACAATGACGTCGTATCAGTCGTATCTCAACTTTTTTGTGTACCGTGATATTCCAATGTTGACAACACTTACTGACCTACTGTAATCCCGATAGAGACCCTTCATCTTCCGCATTTTGATTCCTGGGTCATTGACATGTTAGCGGCTATTCTCTCAATGTGTACATAGATCTCATAAGCCCGATGTACTGGAACGGACAGACCATTATGTAAAGTCCGCCATATAGCCTTTCCGCTAAAGTTGGGGAATGCGCATATGGTCCCCGGAATTATGTTTGTTACAAAGCACTGCATCATGCCTCAACAACCGAATACATGCCAATTACCTCGGACCTTCTTCTAGTCCTTGTTTAGTTTCATTGCGGTTACATTTCCCCTGAAACACCGAAACTTTCGAACGTTTGGATCTAGGTCTAGGTGTTGATGAAGTAGCGGTGGCACAGATTTGCTTCGTAAGGTTTATATTGTGCAACAAACAATCAAGGCACCCCAATTTACAAACCACAACCCTGGTATGTAAGCCCCCCGGTGTTTCGACACAGTTTACCAATATTGCAGGTTCACCATCAAGTGTTGGGTTTGGGTTTTACTGCTTAGGGTTTGGCGCTAGGGTTTGGGGGAGCCTTAGACTTAAACCATTATACCGGCTCGCTTGCGCGATACGACACGGAAGACTTAAACCATCAAACCAATAAACCAATCCATTTGATCTATAGGGCACGGCGGGAGTCTTCAAACCCTGAACGTATTTTGCAGCCTGGTTATAACCTCTGTCCCCGGTTATAACCAGGACACCTGCGTAGTAGGCAGCCCTAGACCCATCACTAAACCATTAAACCATTATCCTTTCCCCCAATGGAACCAAACCAATAAACCATTAAACCAATCCTTTTGCCCCATTGCACTAAACCATTAAACCAATCCCTTTACCCCATACCACCAAACCACTAAACCATTAAACCAATCCTTTCCCCCAATGCACCTAAAACACTAAACCATTAAACCATTAAACCAATCCCTTTACTTCATACCACTAAACCACTAAACCATTAAACCATTAAACCATTAAACCAATCCGTTTGCTCCATACCACTAGACCACTAAACCACTAAACCATTAAACCATTAAACCATTAAACCATGCTTTCGGCCCATACAGGGATGTGTCTCTCTCTATAGGGGAAAATGATTGGTTTAATGGTTTAATGGTTTAGGTCCATTGGGGGAAATGATTGGTTTAATGGTTTAATGGTTTATTGGTTTAGTGGTTTAGGTCCATTGGGGGAAATGATTGGTTTAATTTTTTAATGGTTTATTGGTTTAGTGGTTTAGGTCCATTGGGGGAAATGATTGGTTTAATGGTTTATTGGTTTATTGGTTTGGGTCCATTAGGGGAAAGGATTGGTTTAATGGTTTAATGGTTTATTGGTTTAGTGGTATGGAGCAAAAGGAATGGTTTAATGGTTTAATGGTTTAGTGGTTTGGGTGTGCCAAAACCCAGGGGACCCCATATAGGGGGGTACCCATATATATATATATATATATATATATATACATACATACATATGTGGTGCTGAAGGTGGCGACTGGTGGCGAACCGATTTTTTCTTCAACATCACGGTTGCCGAACTCATCGGGGACAAGCTTCTGAACACGCCACGGGTGCAGGAGTTGATTGATATTATGCATCCTGGAGCAAACCGAGGTATCTTCCATCTTTGTGCTTGCCTTGGTAAGTGCACGGATATTGCTGTGTGCTAGAGGCAGATTAACACTACATGGTACATCAATGCCATCAGCGATGGTCAAAGACGCAGGTGCGGTCTTGCGGGTGGCCTCTTCAAGTATGTGGAGAGTATTTTTCAGTATCTTGCCAGGTGCCAGCTGCTAGAATGCCTTGCAGAAGAGAAGAAGGCACAAAGGGCCATGAGCGCTGTGTCATAGCCGCGCTTGGAGTGGAGCACCGTCGAATGATGCACAGGTCTACATCCTGGACGAAATAACAACGGACGGCTGCTCCACTGTCTGAAAGCCAGCATGCCAACGGAATCCCGAATCACTCTACCCGCAGAGTGTGCTGTGAGGACCTGGACCTCTTCGCTCGTGAAGGTCTGCTAAGATTCCTGCGCAGGGAGTCTGAGGAGAAGGGAGCGTGCCGTAGCCGCACTTCAGCGGCCCATACATCGTGCACATGGCGTACTCACATGGACAATGCGTTGCCTAACCTGGAAGGACCATCTTCTACGCAACGCATATCTTTGACCACTTGGCTGAGTGGGCAACTCATGTGCTCTATTTCGCCCAGGGCAAGATCGAATGTTGCTGCCCTCTTGCCGAAGCTCGGCATCTGTAGTCCCCATGTTGTGGGTGCCCGTCGACAGTATCGTTGTGTTTAGGAGACCTGCCGTAGCAAACCATTCTTCTGGTAGCCGAGATCCTGATTAGAACAGCGCCCAGCACGAATTCTTTTCTCGGAAGCGGAGTCGGACGACTGGGAGCCAAGGAATTGAAAGAGTACCATGCCTTGGTGGCTCAGGGTACCCGATGCCCACTGTATGCCCTTATGAAGCTTGGGGGGCAAATTTGCACGCGATGACCAACAAGATAAATCATGCCTGACAGGGCATCAGCCCATGCTTTCGTAGTCAGGAAGGACTGGATCTCTCGCAGCTACGGTGGAGTGGAGCAGGACTTCACCCGCCGTGTAAACGGATTTCACAACCTCCCAGTTTCTGAAGCCGCTGGTTGAAGGACTGCTCCACGACCGGACCGAGCGTGGAGGAAGTTGATGGGCCAGTGCTGGAAACAAAGAATCTGACCTACTCGTATGCACCCCGAATGCAATCAAAGCGGGTCGTTTGAGCCCAGTGGTATGCAGTAGTCCACATGCTTTTAGGCCGGCGGCAGTCCTCAGCTCAAGAACGTGTCCTTCCACTTCGGCCGTGGTGCACGGATCCTTGTGGTTGGAGCAAACGGCGCGGGCAAGTCCACCTTGCTCTCAATTCTGGGCACCTAGTTTGATTTTAAAAGCAGAGAAACATGCAGTCTCGGTGTGCTGGCTGATGTTTTAAGGCGGCAAGCGCATGATCCCACGTGGCCATGCGAGTGTGATGAAGAAAGACTGTTTCCACGATGGTGGTGTCTCGCAGCACATCATGTACTGTCTCTTGGCAGCACCAAGCTTGTCATGCTGTGCAGCAAATGCTGTATGTTGTTGAGTGGGTCCATGCTGAAGACGTGTTGAGCATGAGAGGCGGTGACTGGTGGAGAACGAAATTCTTCATGAAGCACGGCTTGCAAATCGTTGTATGCCATTACTCTATGAGAGTTTGAGCAGGACAGTGTTTCTTGTTTTGGCACAGTTTTGCTTATGCATGAGGCTTGAGTAGCAGCCTGCATTGGCCACTGATTTTAGAATACCACATGCTGCCAGTGTGTAACTCCTTGTTTGTTTTCTCTTTGAGGCTGCATGCTGTTTCCTCATGAGTCTTCTACCCAGTGGTGCCTGCTGGTAGCTCCCGGAAACTCAGGTATGTGCGGGTCCAGGGTGGCTGGAGGGCTTGGGAGGGCCATGCATGCCATGAGTCATGAGATGTCATGTTATCTTGTCAAACATCTAGTCGGCTGACTCGTCGAACGGAGCAGTGAAGCACGTGTTCGTGACGTCGCTCCTCCACCGGATATGCCACAGTCGTGTGGGCTCCTGTTGGGCAGCAAGGGTGGGATAAAGTGAGATCGCCGAACACAAGCTCTACCGAGCACGCAATGGGGGTCTTGTGGTGTTCGGTGGACCTTGCAAGCTGGTATATGGGCAGTTGTCAAAATTATGGTACCTTTTTGGGTACCCTAAATATTGGGTGCCGTATTATAATAGGGACCCAAAAAGGGACCATAATTTTGACAGCTACCCATATGAGTTATGGAATCTCCGGGCCGTTGATACCGCATGCCAGTTTCCGCAAGCCATCTCCGCAAGCGACCGAGAGCAACTCTTGTCGTCTCGGAGGGATGCCCTGGCATAAGCCAGGCGGACGAAGTTCTGCATGGCATCTCTCAAGACTCTCCCAGCAGCTCCAGGAACACCTTTGTGGCTTCGCCTGCTGCACTTGAAGTTTAACCGGTCCGTTCACGATCGGCTCGTCATCGAAAGGTCGCGGCTCAGTGCCGTGCTTCTTGCACGAGTCGGCTGTGAAAGACAGCTCATCAACGTTCTCGTGGTTCCAGCCTGTGTGTCCCTGGTGCTGGATGTCTAAATTGCCAGATCTTTCTGTCAGATTTAAGCGGGTATGAGCGAGGCCCCCCCAAGGTTCGCCAAGAAGCCGCTGAGCAAGAACACAAGCAGCTGTTGTCAGGTCTTCTCCCCGTGAGCAGAGCCTCGCCGCGACCAAGGAACCTGACGGTCGGAGCTTTGTTGGGAGACATCGCCAAGTCTGAGCGGTCCCAGCACCTGGCCAAAGTTCTGCAGGCTGAAGCTTTTCTGTAGCCTTGCGAGTGAAAGGCTAAAGGAGAGCAAGCCACATGGTTGAGGTGGACATGGAGTGGAAAATCAACGAGGTCTCCGATGGTGCCTTGGACGACAAAGGCTGCATTCCTCTGCATTGCAGTCGTTCCACGGGCAGTTTCGCGAGCTTCAGGCATGCGCCGTCGCTGTCAACTTTTGGAATGCCTCGCAACTCCTCGATCTGCAACTTTGGCTTTGCAAAGCATTCAGACGAACTTTGGAACTCGACTTTCTCACTTGTGAGCATGACAGGGGCTGTTGCCTTGAGAGCCATCGGTAGGGCAGGCGGACAGAATGTCAGGTGTACCTCATGGATGAGATCACATCCGATCTAGATCTCTTCGCCCGAGAGGGCATCCTTAACTTCCTCCGGGCAGAATGTGAAGTGCGCGGTGCGACGATCTTCTACTGCACCTTGGCGCCATGCACCTGATCTATCAAGCACCCTTTCATGGTCTTCGTCTCACCGAAGAGGCACCCACATCTTCGACCATTTGGAGGGCTGGGCCAGCCACCTGCTCCACCTCTCGCAGGGCGAGGCTTGGAGCCCTTGACCTGTCTATGCATTCTTAAAACACAAGAATTCAAGGGCTTCGTCCCTGCGCTGCTTCTGCGAGGTGGTGAAGTTCTGCACGATGGACGAAGTCTCCGAGTATCATGACCTGTGCAAGGCCGGCAGGGCCTTTGATCCTTTGGTTTCGGACCTGGGTTGGAGCGGTTTCATGCCGGCGCGCGCCGGACATCGTTTGTACGCTCAGAAGTTTCAGTTTCTCGATGGCGCCGAGAGGAGGGTAACGCCACCCCTTTGTATTCACTGGTGCGACGGTGGATCTATCAGGACAGTTGCACTGAACTTCAGCCTTGATCCGACGCTGGTCTTGCGAAGCCATGGAAGGAGTACGATGCCAGCGAGGGCGCGCAGCCCTGGAGGAAACTGGCAAAGACGGAGGCATGTGCTGCAGATGTCAGCTCCTGTGCTGCAGCGATTGTGCGCCCTGGGAGGATGGCCGTCTTCCTAACTTGGGTCTCGCAGGGCCCTTCCAGATGACGAGTGGATGAGGAGCTCTGTCAAGAAAGGTCCAAGCCGAAGCAAAGCATGTTCTAGCAGAGATGTTTTTTTCTGCGAGTGATGGTCAAGTTAGATGTCTGAAAGTCTATACGGAATGTCTTCGGGTGTACGGCAGGAGCATGCAATGTGATGCAAATCAGTGATCTAGTCGAAACGCGAAAGACGGATTAGACTTGTCCGTCCTAATTCGAGCTGCATGCTGCACGGCCATGACGGGTTTCTTGGGCAGTGCAATGTTGAGAAGTTGCTGCCAAGCTGTGGTTGTTGCGTCGTGCCGGCATTCTGCCGAGACGTGGCAGGCAGTCGCAATCTCTTCTTCAGATAGGAAGTTGAGCTTTGCGAACTTATGCAGGCTGCAATATTGCTTTGGCGGCTGCTGTCAAGCTAGTGCAAGCTGATCCTTCCAACAGGTGTGCAGTTGTTGAGTTTTCGACCAATCCTGCTTCGGCTTGTAGTTGTTCGCTTTTTACCTGCAATCCTTGTTGGAGGCGCTGCTGCAATGACTAAAGTCAGTGGTATTTACCTCGAGTTTTCGTGCTTGCTCACCCGTAGAGGTTGTTGCGAGCTGCCCGATTTTCATTCTGTGCGGAGCTCCAAAACAGCTCGACTTCAGCAGCGGTGGCCAATTCTTGAAGCTCTCGAGATGCACGGCGTCCCCGCAGGTGTTGCCAGGCTCCCACTTTGGATCAACACCTTGGCCTCAACTGGTGCCAACACCCTCGAGCAGGGGGCCCAGAGAGCTTGCACCGTGAAATGTGTGACATGTCAGTTGGAGTGGAGGGTGGTGACTTCTGCCGACCCGCGTGCTAATGCTAAGTTATCTGGACAACACCGACAGCGGCTATGATGGAGGCCAGGCTCTCTATGACTTCTTCGACAACGTGAAAACTTCGGTCGCTGCCTCGAGCACCTGCATAGGCTGGTCTGAGCAGAATGCCTTCTTCTGGGCATTGCAAAGCTTCAGGTTTTCGGCTTCTTCACCGACAAGCCGCAGTCTCCAGCGTCGGCGCAGGTGCTGCGGATGCCCTTGTTTGCCAAGTGTGTTGGTGTTCACGATGGAGGGCTCTCATTTCTACTTGTGAGCGCGTGGAGGCAGCGCAGGGCTATGCTTGGCCGAAGGAGGCCAACTCGTGTAGGCCTCAGAGATGCCAAGACGTAAGCCTTTCGAGATCAACGCAGTCCGTCTTCACCCAGGTGGAGATGACGCGATTTTAGTTTAGAGTATCTTATATACTAGCAGACAGTAGCCGTGGAAACCGACAAACCGGGACATAATCCTTTTCTGTCGCGCTCTGTCGTGGAGGTATGGCAGCTTGTTGCTTGAAACTTTTGCGTTGTCCACCGGAGTGCCAGAAGTTGCCCCCATGCGGTCTCGTCCTAAGAGGAGACCGCAGGGCAGGTGAAAGTTTCCACTGAATAGATGGGCCCAACCTACGGTTTCACCCATCCTGATAGCAATCTGTCCTGCGAACAGCAGTTCAGCTTCAAGAGCTTGAAAAAAGATTCTCGGCTTCGCGTGGTGTGCTGCTTACCGGCAAATTCGACTTGTGCGTCCGCTGCTTCGATGTGAGGGTGTCTGCACGAATCTTGCCGTGGACGGCATTTCTGTGAAAGGTGCTGTGGTAGAATCAACGAAGCAGCCAACCGGTACTTCCTCCGTTGCCTAAACATCTACTCAGCGACTGCAGCATGTTATGGTTAGATGCATGTTTCTTCAAAAAGCAGCGTCCATGTCTGAAGAGATGCGACCCGACCCCGACCGTTACCTCTTTCAAAGGTGTCCAGCACAGAGTTAGGAGGTTTAGCCCATCTTTGGGAGAGCGACATTGGACCTAGCACGGCACATGGGGGTGATACTGGTCAACGAGATGCTGGGAATCCTCGTCGTGGCAGCTGGGACATGTATTGATTGCATTTTCGGTTGCTTCCAGTCAACTTCGACAAGTGCATACGCTATGTGCACGTCTATGTAACCAGGTCTGCACGTACATAATGCTTGCATTTGTGTGTCTCTGTTTGCTGTTCGGGCCGTCTTTGTTTCATGCATTCCACGTCAATGCATACCATGAGGCATTGCCGAGATCCATGCGTTCATTCAAGACACCCGTCCGAATGTACATTGCATGTGTCACGCGAGTGCTGAGGATGGAAGCTGAGGGCTTGACTTTGGATGTGCAGGACTGCTGTGACACAGCTGTTTGCAAGTGGAGCATCTGCTGCCGCCCTCCCAACCACTGATTGGGATCGTGGTGTCAGGTTCGCACCGCACAGCTGAGGAGGGCCAACAGTGGCAAACCACTCGTCCTCTTCACTCCAAGGGTGTTTTATGTCTTGGCAGCTCAAAGTTGCCTTCCTCGTTTTTTGGCTTGGGTATCTGTTGCACTCTGTTGCTTGGACTTCCAGTTCCGCAGATCGGGACTCTCAAAGGACAGCTTTAGAGGAGCAGACTTCGCCATGCTCCCGAGGAGTGGGATTCTTTTCGGAAGCAGACCCCGAGACGCATGAAGGTTGCAAAGAAAAACTACGAAGATCAGCTTATTTTCGTTTTTTTTTGGTTCTCCTCTGGTCCCCATGCTCTCTTTTTGAGGGTTTTTTTGACACTGTCTTCGTCCTTTGCTGTCCTTGAAGTGCAGACGAACTTGCGTGTCGGCATGTTGAATAACTCATGTTCGCCGTGTGGCACCCCATGTTTTCTGCAGCAGCGACATGGATTCAGCCGTTTTGCATCGAGTTCCGCAGAAGGAGGGGGTTCACAGCCTCGCGTCATGGCCCGTTTCGTCGCGTCATTGTTCCTGCTCGCGGGCTGTGCCACGCTTTCCTTTGTCGGCCCGCTGCCAGGTCGCCGAAGCACGGCCCTCCGAGCAACGCATGGAGAGAAGGAAGCCGTGAGCAGCGATGCGCAGACTCCAGAAAAGCCGGAGCAAACAGCCTCGCCTATTCGCTTTGCTAGTGCTTTGCTTGCAATGCTCGCGGCTTTCGCCTTCGCCTTGCTGCCAGCAGAAGAGGCGCAGGCCGCTCGGTCTGGCGGACGCATTGGCGGCTCTGCGGGTGCTGTGCGCCGTGCACCACCCCGTGCACCTCCACGAGCCCCGGCTGCTGCCAGCAGCAGCAACACCACAGTGATCAACAGGACCACAGTCGTGGCTCCCCCGCCAGTGGTGGCAGCACCATCGGTCGGCTTTGGGATGGGCATCGCTCCCGTCCCGGTTGTTGTGGCACCTCCTCCAACGGTTGGTGACGTCATCGTGGGAAGCGTGGTCGGTGGTGCCATCAACAATGCCATGTATGGCGGCCACCACAGCGGGCCCAGCACGACCGATCGAATGCTGGAGAACCAGCAGCGGCAGGATGAGCGACAGATTGACAACCAGAAGATGGAGATTGAGCAACTCAAGGCTGAGCTGAACTCTTTGAAGGCGCAGAAGTGAGAGCATCTGGCAGGTCAGGGCCGGCCATGTCGGCCGCAGGTTTTCCATTCTGTTGAGATTGCCGGTTCTTATGCGCATGATATCGGGTCAATGATAAGGCCATCAATGTCAGAGGTGTTGATAGCAGCTAGCTTGCTATAGCAGCTAGCACATAGACCCGGGAATCTGACCTCTGCGGATGTGGTTCCCTCGTACCCTTTTAATGTGCACAGTCGCTCGCCGGTTTTGTGTACTTGCCACTAGCCTGTAGCCACACCATGTGGCCGAGCTTGAGAAACGTTCCTATGAGCTGACGCGCAGAAGCGATCGGAAGCGGGGAGGCGCAGGGAGTTGTGCAACTGACATGCCAACAAGGAGAGGGGTCTTTGCAGACATCTTTTCGCCCACGGCAGGACCCGCCGCCGTGCTCCCGAATCCAAGGCCAAGAGCCAAGAATGCCAAGCAGATCCAAGCAGATCCAAGCAGATCCAAGTAGGCAGCAGGAGCTTCTGGTCTTCCGGCTGCAGGGGATGCTCAGATACCAGCTACCACACAAGCATACCTTGGACCTTGGAGTGTGGATATCGTCTTTAGGGCAAGCTGTGCCATCCCGACGAGGCAAAGATCTCTTGGTGAAGGCTCTGAGGGAACGCTGGGGGAGTTTGCTGCGTGCCTGGATCTTGGACATCGACCATCGCCACACGGGGAAGGCACCCCATGCCTCTGCGGCTTTGGGCCATTTTGGGCCCCAAGGCCCAAGGCCCCTGGTCAAAGCGCCAGGTTGCCCGGGAGGAGATTGAGCATGTCTGCGAGTTCCACGGAATTCATGTGAAGGACCCCTTCGCGATGCTGCCGTCAGTGCTGCAGCAAGCTTTGACAGGGTCTGAGCAAGCCGAGGATTTCTGGCAGAGCTTCGCCGCGAGTCCGTCCAAGCCCCAGGACTCGGAGAAGTTGGCCTCCTTGCCATGCTTGCCACTGCAGCCATCTGTGGGAAGGACTTCCTGGCCTTAGAGGACTTGGCTCCGGAGGACCGCCAAGATTGAGACATCACCACACATGTGCAAACTCGGTGCCAGAATGAAGGAATCGGGCAATTTGGCAAGATTCACACAGGCCTGCGCGGGTACATGCATGGCTGCTGGGACAACGTGTCTCTTTCCAGACGATGCATCGCTCATGTGACGGGCTGCCAGTGGACGCATCATGCCAGCTTCGTGCCTTCGCATGGCTCACAGCTGTGTGCCGTAGACGGTTTGCATTCATGTGGTGTAGCACATGAAGTGGACACATTGAATTTTCTGGGAAGTTTACACCGAGAGCACGACATGCTGATCAATGAAGTCGTTTTGGAAGTCCTAGTTGTACCTGTAGCCTGCTAGGCCACTAGGCCTCTTAGTTTCGTCAATCCAGCCAGCGCTGACGTGCCACGAAGTCTGGCACCAGCAGAGGAGGAGGAGTCGCGAATCTGAGAGTTGTTTCCTGCAACTGAGCGTGCCCTTCATTGTTCGTGCTGAATCATTTGGGAAAAAGCTCCCTGCGTTCAGGATGGGCCTTGCCGACGATGAGCTCGTTCATCCTGCTTCCGTCTCGCCCATTCTGCGCTGCCCGATATGTACAGATGTGTTTCTCGGCTCCATCACGCATGCCGGATCTTGACTTGGGCGTTGGTCCGTCTTGGGAATGCTCATGTTTTAGAGGGTCTTGCACAGTATATTCCAGGAACACAAGCTTCCGCATTCTCAGCCACACCCGGCTCAGGTTTGCGCAGCCCGTCGCTTGTGGCACCTGCCAGCAGGCATGGGAGCATGAGCACGGCGTGATGAGCAGACGTAAAATCCCAGCGTTATCGCCTATCCGTATCTTCCTGTGATGCTGGCACTTTAATGTGATGTGGCAGTTTAAGCATAGGGACCCTGCATTTTCTGTCCGAAGTATTCTCCAAATCAGCGTATAAGCAGGCCTGGAAGCGATATAACTCTGGTGAAGACGTACTCCCGGACTGCGCCCTTGCAATGGAGAGGTGTTTTGTCGACATTGCATTGAGAAGGCCCTGGCAATGAGTGAGGCCCATTCGTGCAGAGCATGTGGCGTAGACTCTGCTACTGTCCTTCTGCAGTGTTCTACGACCAGCATGCCAGTCGCTCTCGTCTCGCCAGGCTTCGCAGTGTCCGACTTGCCGCACGCCGATGGGGAAGAAGCTCCAGTCTTTGAGCTCAGCTTTCGACGGCGGTCGTAGCGTGCGGTGAAAGTCGCTCCCTGTGCATCCGAGGCCGAGCCTTGTCGTGAGCTCCTTGTTGAACGAGCTTCATGTGCGCTGCATGAACGTCGGCTGCTACTGGACCGGCCGCTACGACGAGCGGCATGCGCATGATGCCCGTTGCTCTCGAAACCTGCGGCGCTGCCAGGCATCCCGGCGGCAACGTGCAAGCTTGCGCTTCCTTTGAACATGTTTCTTGATGTAAGCTCGAGCCTATACTTCAAGGCTTGGGTCCGAATAAAAGCTCGAGCCCTGCGGCATGGGCAACAATAACGACTTTTTCAGACAGGGCCGGGCCTTCGGCATCACTCTCCGTTATCATGAAGTTTGTCTTTCCTCCATGCTTGCGTGGGCAGGCTTGGCGATCATGCGAACATGTTTTTCTGGATGTTGTTGCCTTTCAAGAGATTTTACGCGTATCCAGTCTTTCATAGGCAAGCGCACGGAGCGTGGCAGCATCAAACAATACTTCCATCATCAGCATCATATGTTCATGTTGCACCACGCAGTGCCCGCGATTTCTCAGCGTTCGAGCTGGTCTCCCTCCGGGTGGAAGAGCATACCAGGGAATTTCCGGCAGTCTCAAGGCTTTGCAATGGTCGTCGCCTTGTCGTGTCTCGACGGCGCCTGCGTCGTGCGGTCTTCATACGGACAGGTTTGTACTGTTACCCCGCGAAACAATTTCCAAACAACCTGCTTTGCAAAAGGGGCATGAACGACCGATTCAACAAGTCTCATCGAAGCTCTTCCAGACTCTTCCCCATCTAGCGACGAAGATGGCATCCGGAGAAGTTGTTTGTTTCATTAGGAAGTGTCTAGAAATCGGGTCCCCAAGGATGGACCATGATTTAGAGCAGCCGTTGTATACCTTTGCCTCGACATGCTGCAAGGACCTGAAGCTGCAACTGGAGCAGGCGTGCTGCTTCCTGCAGGCGAAGGACAAGGAAGTTTCCGAGCTCAAGGCAATAGTGGAGAAGCTGAATGGCCAAAACAGCAAGTTTGAGGAGAAGGCTGGTGTGGTTTCGGGGTGTGTTTTGGGGCTTCGGGGTCAAGAGTCTAGGTGAATCAGAATCCGTAAAACAGGCAACTTTGAGGAGAAAGCTAGTAGAGCTAAGTGTCCCAGGGCTGGGAAGGAGGGAGTTGTCGTCATGCCACCCATTTAACCTGGGCAGGTGAAGTTGCAGCAACTGCAGCTGAATGCGAAGCAAAGCATGTTAGACTTCAAGCATCAGGAAGCTGATGACCTGAAGAGTCAACTCTCTCAAGTTATGAAGCAGCGAAACGCAAGTCATTTTGGACTGCACTCGCTGTTTCCGCTCCTATTCTTGTTATTGTTCCTGGTGCATCTTTGGGTGTTTTCGGACATTTTGCCGGGAGTGCTCGGCATCCGGGACTGCTTGCTGGCACCACCATAGAATGGAAAGACTCTGCCGTGCAGGAGCGGCATTTAGGTTTGTGATGGTTTGGGTGATGTTTGTGATGTTCTGTGCCAGTGCGTGCACTTCTCTGGCCCTCCAATCGGGGAAGCTGAGTTACTTTGTTGAGTTCATATCCTAGCCCAAGGAAGGTTGCAGATAGGCTGTTTGTAGGTGCGACGCCAACTACCGGAAGTGTCAGCAGAACGAGTCCGCAGAAGACTCAGTATGTCCTGGCCGCAGATAATCGGCAAAGACATTTCCGTATTTCGTACGCGGTGGCATGGCTCGACGACACGTTTCGCCTTGCAAGGCAGCCGAGAGCGCATGCCGCACGGTTCGTGAGCATGCTGGGGAGTGCATATCTGTGGGGAGAAAAGTCGACACATCAGGGTTTGCCTGCATGTCTCCATGTCTCCGTTTCGGTCGGTAGCATGTCGCACAGACCTTGTTTCGAGGCAGTGGCTGCAGCAAGCCTGAGCTGGATCCTGAAATTCGCTCTGAACTTGTGTGGTACTTGCGGATTCCTCTTCGAGTAAACGAAAACAAGGTTTCGAGGACGCTTGGCGCCTCATCGACTCAGAAGGGCTTGGTGTGGCCTGCTTATCGTTTAAAGTTCCCGGCTTGTCTGACATCCAGGTAACCTCTCCGGATTTCTCTGCATGTCATCAGGTGGTGACGGAGGACGTCTTCCTTCGAGCGCTAGCTCAGATTGGTGGTGAGGCGACGAGAGCCATGGTGCCACCCATGACTGCGATGGTGTCAGGGGTCTCTGTGAGGCTGCTTCAATCCAAGTGCCTCCTCTCAGACTCCTGTTGTGCAGGTAGATGGCGCATTGCTTTTCAAAGGACTCGACTTGTCTGCACAGGCGCCGCCCTGAGAGTCGCGCTTCGCATCGCAGTGGGTTGGTTTGGCGACACGACTTGTTCACACCCAGAATCAAAGCTCAAGGGCCAGGGATGTTATGATGGAGCCCATGCAAGCACCTCGGGAAGTTAGCAAGCCCACTCGTGTTGGGTGACGCGCCCGCCAGTAGCCAAAGTTCGAATTCTAAGCACCACATCACCAGGCCCGATTGTCTCAAAACAAAACCTGAGCCAGCAGCAGACTCCAGCCGCAGACTTAGAAGACCCTTGCGCTGTTGTCACATCCAATCCGGGCGCAGCGGCTCCCAACCGACTCTCGCCGTGTGCCCAGGGTGTGTATTGAAAAATGAAAAGGGCATGTTTAGCTACTCTCTGTCGTCTTGAGCTTGTTGAGGCTAGCGGCTAACCCTTGGCAATGTTCGGGCAACCCCAGGGTGGCTTTGGCGGCTTCGGGGCCAACACGGGTGGTGGCCTGTTTGGTGCCCCGGCGCAATGTGTCACGGAGGTTTGTGTCAGTCACCACGTAGTTGACATGATCCATTGCAGAAGCTCACTCACGGGAGCCCGAACAAAGGCGCAAACACTGGTGGTGGCATGTTCGGCCAAAATACTGGCGGTGGCCTTTTCGGGCAGAACAGTGGAGGAGGAATGTTCGGCCAGCCGAACACTGGTGGCGGCTTGTTTGGTGGCGCTGCCCCGGGAGGAGCCAGCCCATTTGGCGGCCAGAATTCTGGTGGAGGTTTATTTGGTCAGCCAAACCAAAACACTGGGCTTTTTGGCAACACGGCGGCGCTTGGCTTGGGCCAGTCGCAGGGAGGTGGTCTCTTCGGTCAGCAAAGCAGCGCTGGTGGCCTTTTTGGCCAACCCTCATCTGGAGGTGGCCTCTTTGGCGGCGGCGGCTTTGGGCAGTCTTCCGGCGGAGGCTTGTTTGGTCAGCCAGGTCAGCCGCAAGCAGGAGGGATGTTCGGACAGAGTTCTGGTGGCGGCATGTTTGGACAACCGAACACTGGCGGCGGGCTATTTGGACAGCCCGCCCAGGGTGGCCTGTTTGGAGGAGGAGGAGGAGGGTTTGGAGGTGCAGTTTCTGGCACGACCACGAAGATGCAAGAGATCATCGACCAGGAAACGAAGCTCAAGTATGCCCATCTCGGTGTCATGGACTGCTATAAGAACAAATCCTTTGAGGAGCTGCATCCTCAGAGTTACCACCAGCTACTGTAGGGCTCCGAAGTTGCGTGCTTTCCCGCTCCTCATAGCCGTGGCTCCAAGGCTGCGCATGGAGGACTACCAAGCAAATCGCCTTCAGGCTGGCCAAGGCAGCAGGGCAGAATAGGGCAGAGAAAGCAAGACCCCACTCCGTTTAAACCTGATCAGCTATCAGTTATCATTACAACGAGCCGATTCTTACAGATGGGATCTGGCTTGTTTGCACAACGACTGGAATACGTGGATAGAAACTGGTGGGCGCTGCCCCTGTTCTCACCCTTCTGTCAGCTGCAGACGGCTTGCCGTCTTAACCTGAAACACAACCAGGCAGGCACATCGGGTCTTGACAGTGGGAACATGAGCAGCTGAACTCAGGTGCCCCTGCCCCTGGCGGCCTCGGTGGTGGGACTACAAGCCCCTTCGGTGCTTCGTCTGGCGGTGGTATGTTCGGGCAGAACACCGGGGGTGCCCTGGTTCCAGCCATCAGCTTGTCTTATTCCAATGAGTCAGTGAATGGCGACAGCTCGGTTCTGCTTGAAGCTAGTTTCAGCTGCTTGGTGTGCCTCGCAGTTTCCAAGGTGGACTCTTCGGGCAGAATACGGGCGGCGGCGGACTATTTGGCCAGAATACAGGTGGTGGTTTGTTTGGGCAGAACACCGGTGGTGGCTTATTTGGTGCCAACACCGGGGGAGGCATGTTTGGAGGCAACACCGGCGGCATGTTCGGACAAACCACCGGTGGAGGACTCTTTGGTCAGAACACCGGTGGTGGCTTGTTCGGGCAGTCAAGCGGAGGAGGATTGTTTGGTGCCAACACTGGGGGCGGCCTCTTTGGTCAAAACACGGGTGGCGGTTTGTTCGGCCAGAACACAGGAGGTGGTGGCCTGTTCGGACAAAACACAGGTGGTGGCCTCTTTGGCCAGAACACCGGTGGTGGCCTGTTCGGACAGAACACAGGCGGCGGGATGTTTGGACAGAGTGCCGGGGGAGGTTTGTTCGGCGGTGGCAACACAGGTGGCGGGCTGTTTGGTGCAAATTCTGGTGGGGGCTTGTTCGGCAAACCCAATAGCGGCGGTGGACTTTTTGGGGCGAATACTGGTGGAGGGCTGTTTGGTGCCAACAGTCGGATGCTCAGCTACCCACGTGTGCCAGCATGCGTAATGTTGTCATTGTAGATCAGGCCGCACTCAATGCCACTTGAGTTTTGTGAGCAAGCCTGAGGCGGTGGAGGCGGCCTTTTCGGGGGAGGCAACACTGGAGGAGGCTTATTTGGCAACCCAGGCGGAGGGGGACTTTTCGGCGGCAACACTGGTGGGGGCATGTTTGGCCAAAATACAGGCGGAGGCTTGTTTGGCCAGAACACTGGAGGTGGCCTTTTCGGGCAGAATACAACAGGCGGCGGCTTTGGTAGCATGTTCGGCCAGAGCGGTGGTGGTGGCATGTTCGGAGCCAACACAGGAGGTGGTCTCTTCGGCAACACCGGCGCTGGCGGAGGCCTCTTTGGAAACACTGGCGGTGGGTTGTTTGGAAACACAGGGGCAGGTGGCGGGCTCTTCGGCAACAGTGGGGGTGGCGGGCTGTTCGGTGCCAAGAGCAGCGGCGGTGGGCTCTTCGGTGCAAGCTCGCAAGGCGGGCTATTCGGTGGCAACAGTGGTGGTGGGCTTTTCGGAAACACCGGCGCTGGCGGTGGATTGTTTGGGGGCTCAGGTGGAGGACTCTTTGGAGGGAACACGGGTGGTGGGCTGTTTGGTGCAAGTTCCGGAGGTGGCCTCTTTGGGCAAAACACAGGTGGTGGCCTCTTCGGAGCTCCCGCAGGCGGTAGCCTCTTCGGCACACCTGGAGCTCAGATGGGCCAAATGGGCGCCATGTCTCCGATGGACCCTTACGGCCTCAACGGCCTGGTGACCAACCAGGCTCCACCGCGGCCGTTGGGCTTGACGATGCCCAAGACTCCCTCTAAGGCCACTTCAGCTTACCTTTGGAAATCCCAGCCAGAATCGGCGGCCAGAGTCCGGTGCTCAGGTGTGCAATTCGCGGTGCCCAATGGTGAGCCGACTGGGCTCATGACATGCTCATGACATGCCCGATTGGAGGTGAAACCCTCAACTCCTTCTCGCTCAGCTTCTGAGGCAGGCAGCTGCTCCAGCTGCGATGCTAATTGCCACCACACTCTTTCGGACTTTCGGATCCAGACGCATGCCCCTGCGCCCCCGATCTCACCAGCACCTCGGAGGTGTAAGCTCAGACCAAGCCCTGACGCCTTGCAGGGATCTTTCGCCGAGCGGTCCCCGAGAAGCGGAGCCTTCAGCTTGCCACCCTCGGCAGTGCTGCTTGGAAGAGCTTGATGGTGCGTTCTTCTGTTGAAAATCCTGCGGCGGACACAATTTGTAAGTAAGTTCTGTCAGGAATGAGTTCCGCTCATATGGCTCAACACCGCGCAGCCGACCGCAGACGCCGACAAGCGGCCCCGAAGTCTCGCCCTCTGCCGCCTGACCCGGAGACATCGAGCCCACATCATGACTGAAACTGCAGGCACACGATGTTGCAATCATTTGCAATCCTTCAGGCATTTCTGCGTGTTTCGATGAAGTCGCCCCGATCGCCTGCTCCGCCATCCCCACGCCGGACTCCCGATGACATGATGCCGCCCCTAAGGCCATCGCATCTGTGCGGTTCGAACCTCCAATTTCATTCAACACTGTGTGTTCGTGCCAGGAAGCCCCGCGAAACACAACCGCTGGCCTCTACGTCCGCTCAGATGGATGGTACGACGGGCGGAACTGGAACACCGACAGCGCCAGCCGACTCTTGGCTGACTGGGCTTAACCAGCCAAAATATTCCTCCTGCCCTCGGCTTCAGGAGGTGAGCACACCTACCTTGAAGCCGATCAAGCCCAATATCATTCGACATGGTCCAGACAGGCGCGAGTCTTTGCCTGGGGAGCCTGCCTTTGAACTTGGCGACTGTAAGGCTGGAGCAGGAGACGCCGAAGAACGTGACACCTGCAGCTGCCTCGCTTGTGCCGCGCTTGACACGCTCGGACTACTACAGCAGTCCCTCGGTAGAGACTCGGCGGCAAGCATGAGTCGGAACACGTGCCGCACGTGGTGCTAGAGACATGGGTACCTTAGTCTTGCATGTAAAGCTTATAGTTTGCATCGGCCGCTGTCTCTGTGAGACTGGCGGTATATTTTTGCTAATCTCGATTGTGAGAGAGAGTGTTCTATGGATGCACGGGCAGCTGCTTACCGGGAAGGTTGAGCAGGAACACCTAAGCATGAAGAGACTGCACCGAAATTGTGGCAACTGGCTCCTGTTCCTCCTACTCGTGCTAGCACTGGCACTGGTACGAGTACCTAGTACCTGGTACTTGGTACCTCGTACCTTGTAACCTAGTACTAGTACCTCGCAACTAGTACGAAGTACCTAGTACTCGTACAATTGGGGTTCCCTATGGGTTCCCTGCTGGAAACAACCGTTTCTGCTAGAAGGGTTTCTGCTAGACAAGGTTTCAACAGTTCTTATGTTACAATATCTTGGCTAGGATCGGCTTGGCTTGTCGATTGTCGCAGTTGCTGCGAGATTTCCGGGAGTGGTAATCCGACTGAACAATCGATCCTGCTTTTGCTGCCCCGGTGTCATTCGCCAAGAGATAGAGGACTTCTGTGCTTTTTGCTTTGCCCTGTGAGGAAGCGATGTCTCGAATGACGGAGGCCCAGCTGAGTAGGATCGACAACCTGGAGATTGGCCGCTACGGATACGGATCTGTGAAGTGGCCAGGCAGGTTGCAACTTGTAGAGCTGGAACTCTCAGCCAGCCACTGTCGCCGGCTGGGTCTGGTTCGAAGGCTTGACGGACGTTCGCTGCCACGACTTTGACCGGGATCTCCGGATAGAACGCGGAAGCTTGACCTTATATGCAGAGAGGCGAGGTATCTAGAGGAAAGTCCTGTGAGCATGCAACAGCGCCCCGCTTTGTCTGGTCAGGGAGAAGCCGGAGGTGGGTTCGAGCCTCGGAGGAGCACAGCAGAGTGGGGTCCTTTCTGCCTGCTCTTGCTCAGGCCAAGGCCTGAACAAGGAGGCCGTGGTCACCCTGCATGTGAAGCCGACCAGGTGGGATCCGATCTCTGCACTTCCCGTCGGTCGTTTTGTGGGACGGAGAGGAGCGATGTGAAGCCCAAGAGCTTGGAGCTGCTTCAGTCGCGGCTGTCGAAGCTCTCTGAGGATACTGTGTCTGCAGTGTGACTTTCTGTCAACCACTCTCTCCTTTCCAACTTTGGAAGGAGTTCGGGGGCAAGTTCATTTCCTACGACATGGAGAAATGGATCTTCCGCGTTCCCCACTTTAATCGCTGACAACGGCGTGCCTGCATGTCCAGGGCTTCCACTTCCTGGTGAAATTATTATTGTGGCAACTTGGCGAAGAAGTGCTCAGACCATCGCTGCGCACCAGGCTTTTCCGAGCCTGCCAGATCTGAGGCAGTGGTTTTGATCGAGCCAGTCGGGGCTCTGTGCTGCCTCTGGCGATTGTCCCAATCGCCAATGACAGAGGCATAAAGGGCGACCGAGAACGAACGCGCTCCCTCGAGGGTATGCGCGCGCATTGTTACATCTGGCATAATTACAATTTTTCCCATGTAGTGCATTAGGCAGTAGATCTTCGTAGCATGACATGCACCGGCTGCAGTGGATTTAAACAGTATCCACGCCGAATCTGGATCTAACAGATCTTCTTTGCATTCTTTCCGGGAGCTTGCAGACGGGCACATTTCGCAGATCCTGCATATGCAGAGTGGGATCTTTTCGAAAGCTGGATGGAGGTCCGCTCTCACATAGAAGTGGTACTTCTGATAGGCTGGGCTCCAGTAAGACGCTGGATCGAGCTTTGCTGAATCTATGTGTAGAGGTGGACCCCAAGCACCCAACTTGCCTGTACAGCTAGTGCTCGCTCTAAACGGGCAGCATGAGGTGCACGCCTTTACCTGACATCCGCGAAGGAACGCGGAAGGGAAACGACCGCATGACCGCTCCTTGATGTCTTCAATGCCTTGCTGTGATGTCTTCGTGCCTTGATGCAAAGGCGGAAGCATTGACGAATATGGTGTAAAAACGTACATACATGCATGCATACATACGTGCATGCATCTGTTACAAGCATACGTGCATACATGCATGCATGATCATAAATACATGCATGGCCATACATGCGTGCATGCTCATACATGCATACATGGTCGTGCATGCATGCCTGCCTGCATGCATGCATCATGCAAACGTTCATACATGCTCACATGTGTACATACTCATACCTACTCATACATACATACATACATACATACACTCATACATACACTCATGCATACATACATACTCACTCACACTCACTCACACCCATGCTACTCATACATACATAGGTACATACATGCGTACCTACATGCATGCATACATACATATCGTTCGCAGGGGAAGATCTGGCGCGACGAGTTCGACTTTGCTTGACGCTGAGTGCAGCTTCTGCAGCTAGGATGGAGAACGTAGAGCAACCGTGCACCCCCTCTTGCTTTTCAGAGTTTGTGTGCTTGTTCGGACCCAGTCGCATCTCCGGTCTTTGCAGGTGAAGCTGCTGACTCCAGGCGGTTGGCCACAGACCACGAAGGCATCGGAGGCCCGTGAGCGTTGAACTGTCTCCTCGCCCCTCGTTCGAGGGATGTTTTCCCCGTCGGCTCGCGCCAGGATGCTCCCACTCCAGTGATCAGTTCTCAGCCTGAAGTGGAAGAGGAGGCGGGCTGCTGCGTTGAACTGACGAACAGGAGCCCGACAGTTGAGCTGTAATCACAGATCGTGTTGGAGAATGTCGGACGAAGCACTTAGTTGCTCTCGAATCACTGTGCTCGAATCTATGCATCGTTCTCACAGGTGGAGCGGTATTTCCTTCGCTGGGTCCTGCATTGCCTACGCCTGAATTTGGCCGGCTCAGAGCAGGTAGTTTCTGAACCTGGAGAAGGAATCAAGAACGAGACCAGGCTGTGAAACCTGCCGGGAAGCGAGAGGAACCGAGAGACCCGAGGTTGGCAGCCTTTGCAAGACCTCTTTGTCGACAAGAACTCAGCCGAGCAGGCTCCGAATGCGGCTGGAGATAAATTTGGCGACGTTTGGCCACGGCCACTGTGTTGTGAAGGTCAACGCTTCCAAGCAGCCCAGTTCTCGCCTGAGACGGGCGCGCCATGCGCCCTTTTGCAGCACCGCAGACCCAGGTGGGAGCGAGAGGAAGCCCCGAGCCAAGCATCTGCCAAGCTTGCCCGAGCTTGCATCATGTATTGCTGACTCGGGGGGGGGGGGGGGGGGGGTGAGGTGGGGGGTGGGGGGCCTGCACGTACTGTATGATGTTGCATGGTATTGCATGGCGTGCGCGTGGTTTTCTTGAGGTCCCGGAGTGTCGCGGCAGAAGTCCCGCACTTGACTTCTCTCTCGCAGCGGACCAGCGGAGCAAGCGAGTTCTTGAGTCTGTGAGGACTTCGTTCGGTTTCTGCAAGGACTTCGGTTCAAGGCCGGCAGCTCATGGCATTGCGCTTTGATGTCGCAGGTTTGAACCTCTCAGAATCTTGGAGCCCCAGAGGTTTTCTCATCAAAGGAATCTCTCATCTGATAGTCGTCAGGCTGATGCGCGGACGTTGGTGCGGCTCATCTTCCAAAGGTGCGAGATTGAGGCGGGCTTCGAATCTATTCATTCTGCGGAACGTGCGTGAATCCACTTCGCACCTTCGTCATGCAAAGTTTCCCCGCGGCAGCTCTAGGACAAGCACCGGCTGCGGGAAGGCGGCAGGGCCAGGGCGATCTTCCTCGCGGTTTCGCCTGAACATTCCCTGCCTCTGTGAGGTGTGGAAAGCATTACTCTATCACAGCCTGGCTGGCGCGTTTGGGGAAAGGCAGCCCGCCTGAAGCTCCAGTCGCGCTGTCGTCGCTTGGCCAGGCTTCAGAGTTTTCGTCAGAAGGCGGAAGCCAACCTCTTGAAGTGCTTCTGCGAAGCCTTGAGGCATTGACACATACATATTGCCAATCAGAAGTGCGCGTCTTGAACAAATGCATGGTGCCAGGAAGACCCGGGGCACTGTGCTGCGGGCTTGGAGGTTAGATCTCGATGTTCGAGGATCGGCCTGTTGCCATTCTTGCAGCCACAAGTCACAAGCATGCTTGCGCTATTTCCGGGCACTTGGTGGCACGGTTCTAACTGCGTGCCTTGGCTTGTCTGCAGATTGTCGATCAAGTTAAAAGAGCACATGTGTCGGCGTGCTTGTCCGCATATCATCAGATCTGCTAGTCGATGCGAAGTTTGCTCGATCTCCTTGCAGCCAGATCTTTGCAACGTTCATCCCGTCCACGGGTCCGTTGTGACGCCATGCGCGGATGTGCTGCGCGAGCGGCTTGGCGCCTGGGCCGCTGCGGAGCTTTGCTGAGTCTGCCTCAAGGCGGTGGATTCATCGCTCAGGTGCCATGAACTGAGCAGATTGCTTGGTGGGGCAGGGAACCAGGAGGGGTCATTGTTTTCGTACAGTTGTGGCTGTCTGCTGTCAGGCCAGGGGCCTCTCAGCACAAGACTTTGAGGCAGGTTGTCGAAAGAGCAGTAGAGCTCATGCACCGTCGGTAAAGAGGGAGGGTGTTCTGCCACATGTCCAAAGGGCTGCATCTTGAGTTATGTGCGAACGTAGCAGGGGCTCGGACTGGTGGATCAGTTCCGTCGTGCACAAACCACTCGCGGAGGGTCGCCGGGCTGTCAGCTCTGATAACACGCCCACAGCCCTTCCCAATAAGTCATCTTCCCAAGAGGCGGTTCTCCACCCTTCCCGAAGGCTCTGTCCATCAGGGAGCTCCAGGACCTGGCCAGGCAGCGTGGGGTGGACCTGGAGGCTTCGGGAATCCGCTTGAAAGCCGGCTTTTTTTGGGGTGTTTTCCTTCAATGCAAAAGGTGCCCAGATGCTAGAGTCTAGAGACAGGACTGCTTTGAGAAGCGCGATCTGGTGGAGAAGTTGAGGTGCTGCACCCTCCCGCCGCCCTTTCCTTTTCTTCGAACACGGATGTTGCAGGAAGGTGCCTTCCGGAAAGACAGCGTTCAGCACATGCCAAGCAGATCCCAGACTCTTGGACCTTTTTGCACTAGTATGCAGTGCTCGAACTAGTGTGTGCATCGCTTCAGAGAATGACAAGGCACCGGTGAGGTCGACGAGGAGGTGGCTTCCATGTCAATCACCGAGTTGCGCGCTCTCATCCACGAGGCTGGTCTCAGCTCCCGGGATCTCCTGGAGAGGAAGGAGTTCCTGCAGAGGGCCAAGGAGGCGAAGAAGATTCTGAGGCGCCCTCTTCATCCCATATTGTACTATATACTGTACTATGCTATATTACTATATGATACTGCTGTACTATACTATATTATACTATATCATACTATACTGCATATACTATACCATTATATGATAGTCGTGGATTGGGGACTCCGCAAAAAGAGCCAAAGGGCGAAAGACTTGGGAATGCGAGGACCCGGGCGAAGACCGAAGAGGCTTCCAGCGGGGCGAGCTCGAGCAAGGCAGCGCCCGCGAGCTCGACCAAGGCGGACTCCAGAAAACACCGAGTGGTTGCAAGCGCATATATATATATATATATATATATGTATGTATTACAATGTGTAAAAATCGACATCATACGATATTGCGATATCATATTCTTTTGGAAGCCGAAGCAAGGAACCGATAAGCAATCCCAAAACTTATCCCTGCGATTGCCATCCATTTGTCCCAAACCTAAGTGGGGTAAGCAAGAGAGTACTTCCATGTACCTCCACTGGTTCATCACTGTGCTGTGAGATAGTCAGATAGTCAGTCCTTGGTGTCCAGGGCCAGTTGCCTTCGGATGTCCGGCGCTACCAAGAGCTGGAGCCTGCACCGCACTGGAAAGTAATGACCTCGTTGGCTTTCTGTAGAATGCTCTTGTCTAGCCACCGAAGGAAGTCGTTCTGTTTGCTCGAGGAGGTTGCTCACGGCTCAGTTGCGTGCGTGGCAAAGCACGGGTCTGTAAACTCGGCCCAAGGTCCGCATTGTGTTGCAGCGTTTGAGCTGCTGAAGCGACGTGGTCTGGCAAACTTCGACTTGCAAGATGTGGAGTGGTCGAAAGAGGCCCTTTGTATACGGGATGTGATGTGAGGATGTTTTGGCGTGTCCGTTCATCCACGCTGGTGCAGGCGGTACAAGAGTTCCGGCGATTAGGCGGCAACGGAGTTCCGCTCCTGGGCAGCATTTTCAGGAACTGGACAGTTGGGTCACAGTTACTGTATTTGGTTTTCGTGGTCCAATATTACATGTGCAAGTCAACTTCGCATAGGCAGCATAACACATGCTTCTGTTCCTTGGCGTCGGTTGCGACCGGCGTGACCAGCAGAGGTTTTTCTATTCGAAGAGGACGGGGAAGAGCTTGTCGGGCTGGAAACCCGATGCCACAGATCTGGAGTGGCTCGTGCAGCGCTTGGCATAAAAGATGTCCGGATGCCCCAGCCTGCACTGCAGAATTCTGACTTTACATGCCCTGGCCAGCACGGTGACCGGTGACGGCAGGCCATGGAGTCGTGCAGCGGTCCGACCTGGAGCGTGTGTGCAGAGTTGTAGGCGCAAGCTTGCATAAACAGCTTGCTGGAACTGACCTGGGATCAGACATGGCGTAGCGACAGTGCGAGGAAGTAAAGATTGAGCTTTTCCGACAGGTTGTGGTGATGATGCTGCGTCAGTTTGGCAGGCGTCCTGCATCCCAGTCAAGGGTCGCATCGACCATGCAAGTTGTTGTCGTTTATGAAATCATGCCGTCGTAGCTCTCATTTGGATGTTGATCTCAGGTTGAGACCTTCTGGTGGCCCTCAGCATCCACTCGAGATCTGTGATCTAGCGTCCCGGAACTCAGCGATCCTGGTTTTGGCGAAATCTGGCCAATGCTTCAGCGTTTTAGTCTCGGAGTGGGGTCGGGTCCGAAGCTCCTTCGGATCCCGGGCCCAGAGTTTTCAATGATCCATTCAAGGCACGGTCAGAATGCCAGACCGGGCGTTGCATGGAAATCCGGGATATCACATACCGAAAGCAGCTCTAGCTGCTCGCGCCCTGAATGAATCGGTAAGGCCTGCCGAAGCAGCCAACCTCTATGCTTTCACGGAGGACTGCGGAAGTCGGATGTAGTTGTTCCGCTACAATTTTCAGTTTGCTTCCGCTTTATTCCTTGAGTATGTAGCCAAAATTGCAACATGTGGCTTGAGACTTGGGACATTGGACTTCGCTCTTTTATGCAGGATTTTTCCAATCCACCCCATGGGCTGGCCAGGAGGTATTCAAGCTGTTGGGGTATCATCTCAACCGCGCGGGGAGCTTGTTGACATTGCCTGTCGCTGCCAAGCGGACTTGCAGCGTTGAGGCCTGGGGTCTGCTGAGCAATGGGTCGTCAGCTGCAGAGGCTGGTGCAGAGTTTCCTGCTATCCTAAACCCTGAGCCCCAGAATCGAAGAACCTGGCAGGTAAAAGCCATCAACTCGGAGCAGTTCCGACAGGCATACTCGAGGTGGGGGGGAGGGGGGATTGGAATTCGAGATTGTTGAGACTTCGATGTGCAGTGCATTCTTTGGGCTGCAGCAACAGCCTTAGCAAGCAACCTTTGGCGTTAGACCGGCCTTGCCCCTTACTTTGCTTTGGTGATATTTGGTGACAGAGGTGGCGTGCAGGAGGTGAGAGGAGTAGCTTGAAACTACATGCCAGCTGCGTGTCACGCTGAGCATTCGATCCGCAGGCTTGGTCTGACTGGAGATGCAGGCCTGATTTACCGCTGGGATCCGAGACTCTAGAAGGAGGATATGGAGACGTGATCCTCTATGCATATTCCAGCGTAGCTAAGGTGGTTTGGTGAGCTTCAACAAGGACGGATCCGAAGGTGGGCATGGCTTTGCAAAATGGGCTTTCGTGGAGCCAGCACCCATGCAGGCAAGCTCTGGAAGGAAGAGCTTGACTATGCTTGGTTCTTGACCATGAAGGTGAGCGTGCTCAGTGACTGCTCCGTAAAGGTGGCCGCAGGGTGTTTCCAGGCATATTCTCCACTGTTTGTCGGTGGTATGATGGGTCTTGCGCAGCGCCTTAGAAGAGCCACCCCTGCACACCAGCTGGGAATTTCGTGCTTACCGACTGACGAAGACGATAGGACGACGATGAGCTGATGTGAGATTTTTGATTGCGGTGGTGGTATATGGTGATGGTGACGATGGTGGTGGGTGTGCTGCTGTTGATGATGGAGATGGCGGTGATCATGACGACAACGACCACGATGAGTGACGGTGATGGCAATCGTAGCGATGATGTACTACTGCTTGATGCTGCGATTCGAGACGACAATGAGAATTCTCGGGCCACTGCAACAGCGGTCAGGCCCAAGCAAGTGCGAGCAAAGCTCCCACGAACATAAACTTGGGATGCTCACCTCAAGATAGCAGATCGTGCCCAGATGACGCATTTGCTGGTTGGCCTCGGGAATCCCTGGCCTTTTCCGCAGTTGGCGCGGCACAACTTGGGCTCTTTGGTTCTTGAAACACTTGCAGCGGATCTAGACCTCAAGTGGGAGTGGTGGTGGAGCTGCTTCGGCTGGATTGCCCATGCGGATGCAGGTGAGCTTACTGGGCTGAAGCTGTTAGTTCCTGGCACTTTCTACAATCTGTCAGGGTGGGCGGTCCGACGTGCTTGCACAGTGCTGGGACTGGAACCCAATCAGCTCATCCTCGTGCACGACGACATAGACCTTGAGTGCTTCTGTTGGGCAACTCGATCGGGGGGATCTGATGGAGGAAACCGCGGTGTGCGAAGCGTTTTTCAAGCACTGGACCCTGGAGTGAAAAGGCTGCGGATAGGCGTCGGGCGTCCTCCCAGTCGCGATCCGAGCGCTGTAGCCGGTCATGTACTCGCACCCGTGGAGCCAGAGCTCCTCGAACGCTGGAGAACCGCAGCGCGCAACGGCCGCAACGGAGAACTGCTGGGCATCCTCGGAATCCTCGGCCCGAACTCCGCGCCGAGCGGAGCGAGCGGAGCGAGCGGAGCGAGCGGAGCTCCGAGTCGAGGCCGGCTGTCGTGAGCCAAAAAAGGCTGCGTGCTCGGACGGACTGGGGCGAAGTCTCGCCCCCAGAACCCAGAGCGTTGCCAGTTGCAGGCTGCGACCATCCGGACGGTGCCAGTGCACCATCGGCCACATGGCTGGGAGGCTTGCATTCCCTTCGGGTGCAGTTAGGCCGTAGGCTAACACGGAAGTGATCGTGGCCTGGTGCCGATGGAGGCCACTGGGAGTCGACATGCCGCGCAACTGCTGAACTCACTAGGTGCCCTCCGTGGGGCTTGGATTGGGAGGGTTTGAAGTCCAGGAGGCGCTGTGTTTCTTTTGAAGGATACTGATTCGGATGCTCCCACTTCCTACTTGGGTGCCTGCGCTGGTCTTGAGTCTTTCTGCTACCCCTCCGTTAGAGGACGGTCATGTCGTTTGGCATGCGTGTTGCTCATGACACAGCCAGAAGGCTTTTATGGCGAAGTACCGCGGATGGCAAGTGCGCAGCTGGGCATTTCCATGTTGCACTTTGTCGCATCATGGTGCCTGTTAACTCAGCATGCAGCCTCACGCTTCTGGCACAAGCGAGAACAACACGTCATGTCTGCATGCTAGATGCACCAAAACACGTCTACTTTGGTTGAAGCCACGTTGTTTGACAGACCCGTGGTGCTTGACTGGGCTGGCCATGCCGGAGCCATGTAACTCTGTAGTTTTGACACAAGGCATTCTCTGCATGTGAGTGCAATCTCTGGTAGATTGGAGCAAGACTTCCGCCATGGAAGACGCCGACACCACAGACACAAGCCCCGAGTCGGGCAAGATTGTTACCAGGCCTGGCACGGCTTTCCGTACTTTACGATGTTCTTACGGCGCTTGCGCAGGGCGCGGTATGTCCGAAGGCGCATTCGTTGAGATCCGCCAGGTTGTGCCCAATCGAGGTGCCGAAGGTAGTCCTGACAGCGGATGATTGCGACCCGTCCTTGCCCGGTGCCCAGAGGAAGAGGCTCAGTCCGATTCCAATCAGTGCTGCGGAACTTATCGATATTTTCAGCCCTAACATAATCATGTTAAACCTCGTTTTTTCTTAGCACCTGCCTCTCTCACGATGCTGTCGCATTGGGATCCGTGTTCCGATTCGTCGACGGCACTGCGTTTTCCCGCGCAAGCCCTTCGTGTGCAGAAGTTGGTCGGCGTCTGAGGCCTGTACCGGAGCCTTGCAGTTGGGACGAGGCGGTCACCCTGCCCTCTGCAAAAAGGCCAGGCGACAGTACCCATACATGTTCCTAGAAGAGCTTTGCAAGATCTAAACGCCAAGCCACAGGCGCTTTTCATTCCAGCTGCCCTCCACAAGTGACGTGGCAGAACACCCCGGCGGTCCTCGAGACTTTCCTGCACCGCGGCAGTTGGGCCTGCTGAGGTGAGCCGGGCTGCTTTCTCACGTTCCGGCTGCCAGAGGGCGAGAAGGTATCGGTGCAGATGCCTGAGGCGTGAGATTGCCTGCTTAACCTGCACTATGGTCTATAGTGGCTGTCGTCCTGCCTTCAGCCAGGGCTTTCAGGGAGGCGAGATGGCAATGGCGACACAGCGGCCAGATGGCCACTGGCGACTCACAAGGACGCTTTGGAGATGTCGCCGGAGAAGAGCGGGGTGCGATTGTCTTTGCAGGAAGCCGACGCACTTCACCTTTGTGGTGCCGCCGGGAGCGAAGCCCGGTGAGGCCGCAAAGAGCATCCAGATTGTACCAGTAACGCTCACATGGCACTTCGGTTGTTTCGGGCTTTGGGTTTCGATCGCGCAGGTTCTGAAACCTCAGCTGCCAGATGGAACCTTCCTGCATTTCGAGCTGCCAGAGGCTTGGGCAACGGGTGATTTTCAATCCTGGCACCTTTCTTGTAGAAAGTCGGAACAAGAAAGAAGTACAGCACGTTCCGTGCTGCTTGTCTTTTGCCCCGGTCAGAACGTACAACCTGGTCATCTTGTGGAGCTGAAGAATCTCGAGGGCGCATGGGCAGTGGTTCGCATCGTCGAGCTCATGCAGGCCTTCGCCGAGACAGTGAAGCCGTGAAACTTCGAGAGTCGCTGCTTTGAGGTGGCCCGCGTCCCTCCTCAAACTGAGACTCTTCGAGGATCCTACTTGGCAGCCTTGGAGCGGCTCCGCCAGTCTGGCGGACTCCGGGCCCTTAAGGCAGGCGGCAGGCAACTCAGATCTCATCGCTCGAGCGGTGACCACGGGAGGCCGATGCCGATGGCATGCTGGTGGTGAACGTACCCTTCTGTGGGCGCTTCCAAGAGTATGCCATGCTCGGCAACTTCCTGGCCGAGCACTGCTTGACTTTGCCCGGGGTGAAGGGGATCCGGATCTTCGCGACAGACAGCCAGGACAAGTACCACTACGACTGGGCAGTTGCCAAGCGTTGGTTCGCAGAGTTCCATCCAAAAATTGAGGTGCCGCAGCTGCATTTGAGCTAGCGAGTCGATGGTTTCTGGAAGCCCAAGCACCGTGCGGAAAGTGAGGTCCAACTGTCGGTTCGTGATCTCCATATCGATCCACTGCCGAGGGCAGCGCTCACTGTGGCCACGCATCCCGAAGTTACAAGTCGCTCGCCTTGACTTGGTTTCACTCATGCAGCTTGCTTGCGGCACGAGTCCACCAATTCAAGCTCGACTCGCCACTAGTCGTCATTTCGCCGGCGCAAGTGCGCGGGCTGGAGAGTTCGGGGGCGAGGAAGAAGAGCAGCTAGAAGGCACGTCAGTGGCATGCAAAGGCGGTGTAGGTGAGCTGCAGACAGAGTATAGAAATTTCACGGTTGGGGGTGCGGGAAGGTCATGTCCTTTGAATGCGACAGAAAGTATAGAGCAAGTCGTGCACAGACTGCACATCTACGCCATGTACGCTTGCTGCAGCAATGAACTGTTTCTGAAGCTGCAATCATTAACCAGCTCAGGAGGGGGAACTTGGTTTCCCATCATCGGGTCCATTGTCCGTGCGGCAGAAAAGGGGATATGCCTTTTCGGTACCTTCTTCGAGGACGAGGAGCAACACCGAAGCGCGAAGCAAGGCCATTTTGGTCAGTGTTTAGAGCCGTTGACAGGCCACGACGCTGACTAACATGGTGAACATGTACAAAGTGAACGACCAGCCCCTTGAGAAAGATTGTGATGCAAGTTTTGTGTGCCGTCTCTGGCTGATCAAAGCGGTGGTTTAACTGCAATTCGGCCGAGGACCAGCTGTGAGGTTACGGAGAACCCATACTTTATGACACCAGAGAGCAAGTCGCTGACTTCAAAGCGCCTGCGTGCCTCGACCGATGCTTTCTTAGCCTGAACACTCGAAGTCGGATTTAGCGAGTTTGCAGCTACTTGTATAGTGGCCTCGTCACTGGCAGTCTGGTTTGATGGGCGCAAACGATTGATAAGTGCAGCATCAAATCAACACGTGACTTCGAAAGATCGAGGCCATTTGGTGCTTTTGCGGCCTCGGCCGCCAACTTCGTTCTTCAAGAGCTTTGGGAAGTACATCGCCCGTATATGCTGCTCCTAGAGTCCTAGAGCCAGATAGAGCCAGGCCGAGAGCTTGGCACTGTCTGAGAGGCCATGATGGCAGGTTCTCCGATCGCCCGTTCCTTGTAGCAGACGTCTTTTCTACTGAGTGCGCGGCCTTCCGTAAGAAGGCAGGTCGTCGCTCTTGCACGAAGCCCCGCGATGGTCTGGAATGTCTGCAAAGCTGAAGAGTATCTGAAGAGTGGTCTTCCTGTCAATTGCGTGAGTTGACCTCCGCATGGAGCCGACATTTTGAGGCTTGGTCGCTCGCCTGGAGGCAGGTCGCAGATTGTCTCTGCGCGAAGAAGCCCAGCAGAGTTTAGCATGTGTGATTCCACTTGTGCATTCCTGAGACTTTCGGCTTTTCGGCAAGTCTCCTTGATGCAGCTCTGCAGTTGGTCGCCGCCTTGTGCCCGAGGGGAGACTCTCGTGCCTGTGCTACTTGCGAGCTTCAGGTCGCCTGTGAGGTTCCCGGCCTCCAACAAGGTTGAACGGCTTCTTTGCCTTTGTGGCATGATACGGCATGTCGCAAGAGTCACTGGAGGTTTGTCGCCTTCTACACCTGGCCAGAAGCAGATGGCCGGCATCATCTTTCAACGCTGCAAACTTGGACTGCGAATTAACGCGCCCAGATGGGGGTGTGCAGGCTTCCAAGACCAGTCCTTTCGGGATGCAGCGCGTTGCCGGCATGGATGAGGAGGCGAACATAGGCGAACAGGTGGAGTTCGGTACCGACCAACGGCTGATCTAGCCCAACAAAGACGCAAGCTTTGTGTCGCAGCTGATGCATTCTTCTCTTGTCTTCTTCCGAGCGCAGGGCGAACGGAGTGCCCATCCTTGTAAAGTCAAGCGCCAGGTCGAGCGAAGTCTGCCGGTGCAGGTCGAAGGCACACGGGGTCATAGGAATCCTGTGCACCTGGAATGGAGGTTTTCTGCCCAGGGCGGTAGAGTCTGAGAGTGTCCTTCGTTTCCACCATTAACTTCTAAGTCATATTTTTGTGCCGCAGACGCCGGCTCAGCAAAAGGGGGGTTGACGCGAATTCTTCAATTAGCCGCAGCGATGACTCAATCTGCTCGACTGCTTCCTGCTCTGCTTCTGGGCGTTGGCGCCTGGTGCCTGTTGTCGCTGACAGGGCCTTCGCAGTCCTTCGTCGGCACTGCAGGATCCCTGCAGAAGCCAAGCCGCACCGCCATGCAGGGATTCAAGGATGACTTCTATGCTTGGAAGGATTCCCTGAGCAAGGATGAGCAGGCTTTGATCCTTAAGCAGGCCCAGAACGAGTTCGACAAGAAGTTCCGTAAGAGCGACGACTTCAGCAAGGACCTCCCAGAAGAGAAGATCCAGTCTTTCGCCAAGGTTCTGAAGAAGTTCTTCGACAACGACACTCGGCTGCACTTCGATTGCTTCTTCTTCTTCAGCAAACGAGCACTGGACGGCAAGCTGGGCTTTTAGACTGCTGCATCCGAAGCATACGAATGATTTTGTAGAACGGTTTCGGGTTCCGTACCAACAAAAAGAAATGAAGATTCGGATGCCAGATGCTCCTGCGTGTCTGACCGTATGCTTACCGCACTGAGGAGAAGGATGACTACAAGAAGGACCTCGCTTGTTGTTGATGTTGGCTGATAAACAAAAACGGGCTAGGAGGGCTTAGATTGGTCTCTGCTACCAGAGTCTATCAGTAACCCCCTCAGCCAGGATGCCGATCAGAGGACTCCGGACTATGACGCCTTGAAGAACAAGGCTGCCCTTGTCTCTTACGACTTCGGCCTGAAGCGACGTGTGGTGGAAATCGACCGCGATGCTGACCGCCGCTGGATGTACGCATCCATGAAGGCTCGCGCAGAAGAGGCTGAGGGTAAGGAGGCCTCGGACAGCGCCCCCTTCGAGGATTTGTACAAGTTCTCCAAGGAGACCGCAGAGACGGTCCACAAGTTCCTCGCTGAGGCCAACAGTGCTTCCAGCGCTCCGGCCGGTCTGAAGAAAGACATCGAGAAGGTTCTTAAGGAAAACCCACCTTCGGACGACTTCAAGGTGCGCTTCCCTCGCGTGCTCCACGAGCGCTTGGCCAAGAAGATGGGCTCCTTGCAGAGGGACCCCCCGGATTCCTTTCCACTCTTTTTTCAGAGCTTACGATGCTTGTTTGTAGTGTAGCCGTCCTTCCTGAGCTTGCGTGCCCATGTAACGCAGGAGATCGAAGACTTCGCAGCGAACCACTCTGAGGCCGAGACCAAGGAGTTCAAGACCAGGACTGCGCCGGAGGAGCTCCTGAAGACCGCCGCCGATGTGATCAAGCCGTACTATGAGGCCAGGGAGGAGACTGAGAAGAAGGTCGATAAGCTCAAGGCATTCTTCCGCTCCCAGAAGGACGCTCCGGGCAAGACCAAGGCGGCCCAAGTCTCCGTAGAGCACCCACCTCCTCCCATTCTCCGTGTGCCTGATCCAAGGGTAGCCGCGCAAATGCAGCGCGAGTCTTTAATTTTCCGGGTCTAGTGATGCCGACAGATAGCTGCAGTGCTGCTGCAGCAGGCCGATGTGGTGAAGGAGATTTTCAAGGTCATGCCGAAGTTCTCGGACACCCCGCTGCCTCCTTTGGATGAGGAGATGCTTTCAGATCTCGCCAAGATCCCTGCGAAGCTGGACGGCGAGTGCACGCCTCAGCAACGCATCTTGCGTGTCCGTTTTCGGGTGCCTATCACAGAACGTTCCGTCACCTGGCCGGAAGGCCTCGGAACTCGAAGTTCTGCACAGTTAATCCATTCCAAAGGTTTCATGGAGGGGCTGCGGCTGCAGTGCCAAGTCGCTAAGTCCGGGGTTCAACATGCTAAACACAGCCGAAACACACATTCCGAGACTGAGACCCACACTCTATCGAATACCCTGCACGTATACCCTGCACGGAGGTGCTGATTGCGGCAGTTATTCGTCGACAGGTCTTCGAAGTGTGTTTCGTTGATTGACAGCCGTGTTTGTGCTGGCGTACCCTGCGATTGAGGGATTTACCGAGCGGGAGCTAACGTAGAAACCCCATAAGTGTTGCTGTGGTGTTTGGGAAAAGGTTGCAGGGAGTGCCTGCTTCCTCACATCCTCTATGGGAGTTTCCGAAAATAAGGGGTACCTTAGAAGGGAGTCCTTGCAATATAGCTATATTAGGGTCCCTTGTTTTCGTAAACTTGCATTGCGAGACAATTTATGATGGCACGGCAGAGAGAGAGAGAGAGAGAGAGAGATTTTCGTAAACTCTATATAATAGAGTCCTGCATGGCCGAAAAGCTTGGAATTCCGTGCGTCGGCTTTTCCCGAAAGCTTTGCGAAGGGTTGAAAAAACACGCTTGAGTTGCTCACTCACTTCTCAGCACGTATGGCGCAGGATCTACACCACAAAGTGCACCAGAGCACCTCCAAAGCCATTTATTCTACATTATTTCTTTGCCTGGGGTGGGTTTGGCGGGGCTCGGCGCGATGTAAAGAGATCGTGGGTGTCGAAGCTCACTCTGTGGCGCCGTGCGAATTTGCAACGTCGCCGATGAACCTCTGCAGGGCTCGTGCATGTCGTATCCGATGTCGCAGCACCTACATCACGGCACCCGTACCCCACCAAGACCATGGCACCTACGCAGCACCTGCATCACAGCACCTACACGGCACCAAGATAACAACACCTACACACCACAGCACGACACTGCCAGATACGTGTCCCTTACAAATCTCGAACTCATTGCTTCCGGGATAATCGGGTCTGGTTTTGGAAGACCTTGTCCGGACCACATGTAGCAGTGTCGGCTGACATCCTTGGGACTTTCCGAGAACGACCGGCCGGCCGCTGATTGTATGCGGTTTACTCTGTTGACCGTGGCAGCCTGCAAACGCCCGGCAAGTGGCTGCGGAGGGCTACTTCACGCTTCGTGTGCGGTACGATCACTACTGCATGTCATGCGAAGTGTCAGCTTGTTGCTTTGATTTCCTTGTTTGATCTGCCGGCTGCTGACTACTGCAGCCAGAAGTTTATCAAAGTTGCGTTGTGTCTCTTGCTTGCGGTTGTTACATGGGTGCTGCTCCGCGGCCGCTGAAGAAGCTTCGGAAGGGTTACTTCTCTCTGGAGAACCTCGAGGTGGCTGCTCCTCGGCCGGACCCCTGCCGTATCGTGTTCTACAACCCGTTCCGCTTGCCTGGCGCTGCTAGACCCTCTGGATGCAACGGCAGAGAGAGGGAGAGAGAACCCGTTCCGCTTGAGCACTTCGAGTTCGGGTGCGCCAGATGGTCGCAGAAGCATGGAACCGGCGAACATTAGTCGTGCTATGACGGCAAAGAGTGCAGGGGCTTCACTGGCCGGGAGTCCAGGTTGGGCGTGCTCTCTAGCTGACCACGAGGACAAAGAGCGTAGGCACCTGGCTTGTGTTTGGGTCGCCTTTGTACAGTAGGCTTTGTCAGACAGGAAAGCGAAATTCTGCTGGAGCTGGAGGATTGCAGTCAGGAGAGACTCTTGCCGTTGTTAGAAGACAGGGCACCGGCGACACTGAAGGCGCATCTGTGCGGATGGCGCGCCTGGATTGGGTTCTGTGCATCCTTATCCTGGAAGCCGGGCAAGCCCTCGATGGAGCAGATGCTGGATTTTCTTGCGAGTCTTGCTGAGGGCTCTTCTACGAATCGTGGCTCCGGACGTGTTCGGTCTGCAAAGAGTGTTCTGCGGGGAGTGCGTTTTGCAGCTTTCAAATTTCAGCTTGCAAAATTGGAAACTGTTGTGCAGAGCGCGCTGGTCTCGGCTTGGTTGGCGCAGGATAGCTGGAAACCGCAGCGTGTAAAGGAAGCTCTACCGCTACCCTCTTGCGGCTCGAAACAGCTGTGTTGAGCGATCCCGGTGATGACAAACTATTTTTTTGCGCGGTGGTGTGGGCGAGTCTACGGTGGTCAGATGTACAACGGATGAGTTTGACTTCAGTTCTGCGAGATAGCGATTCCGTGCGGAGCTGGTCATGGAGGACCAAAACCAGCAAGCGTGGCATGACCTGGGCTCTGCTTTCTGGCGGCCTTTCAGGGTGTTCTTGGGCTAATGCACTCTACGAGGAGATCTGTGAGCTTCGTGAGGGACTTCCTCCTGGCACAGCTCGGGAAACCTCTTGAATATTCAAGCATGCTCTGCCAATTTCGACGTATACTCGTTGTCCATGCAGGTTTGCGTCCGAGGTTGCCTGCATGTTTTCGCTCCACTCGATGAAGGCTACATTGCTCTCCTGGGCTGCGGAGCTGGATATTGACTCTGTTCTCCGGTCTGCTCAGGGACATCACAGGTTCGCAGGCGCGTCGTCCTGTGTTAAGCGCTACTCGAGGGATGACCTAGGCCCGCAGCTGAAGTGTCAGCGCAAGATACTTCGCGCTCTACGCGCTGGGTGGCATCCTGAGGTGCCGCTCCACCGCGGCCGGGACGGCCGGGAGTGCCTGGATGAGGAGCTCTTCCGGATGAAGGTCGAGGTTCCAGAGGGGAATTCCGACCCTGAGCCAGAGTCCGAGAACGAAGAGGAGAATGGTGAGTGCTCGGATGGTGATCATGCCAACGTGTCGGATTGAGCGAGGGCGAGGATTTGCCCGATGTGGCGCAGGAAGGGCAGTAGTGGCTTCTCAACACCGCGTCAGGCTGCGCGCGCAGGGCAGTGTGGAACGGGGATGACGCCCGCCAAAGAACTGGGCACACACTATGAGTTTTGGGACAAGAACCCCTGCTTGCATGGGTTCGAGTTGCACGGTCATTCGGGGTGTGTCTCTGCGGGCCCGAGTGCTTGAATATAAGCGGGACGGGGGTTTGCTTGTGGGCTGCTTGCTCGACTCTGTCCAGGTACTTACCCGCAGTATGTCATGGCTGGGGAGCAGATGGTGCGATTCTGATGCGTGTGCTTATTGCATGCTGTGTGCTGCAGAGTGCATTGCCTGGGTTGCTTGCGTGAGCTCCCAGTGTCTCGTGTGGTGTCATCTTGATTGCGATTGCTCCTGTTTGACTCGTGCAATGGCCAGTGAGAGCTGGACAAAGATGCTCAAGGAAGCAAGGCTGCAACCAGAGGTGGTTCAAACATTGCTAACGGCAGGATACCAAACGCAGGACGCCTTCAACTTTCCCTCCGCAGACGTGTTCGATGGATTCGCGAAAGATTTTGTTATCAACAATGGTGCCATTCACGGAGTCAAAGCGGAGATGGAGTTTCCATCCGGTGGTTGGCGTGCTGCGTGGTATTTGGAAACGCTGCCAAGCTCCGTGTGGGCCAGGGCCCAGTCAGACAAATCTGACGCTGGCCTTGGCGTCGCCGGCTGGGATGGGGCCAACCACGTCGTCCAGCAAGCCGACTGTCGTGGATCGTGATCGCATGAGGCGAGAGCTGGAAAAGGAGTCTTCAGGCACCTTTATCACACCATCCAACCTTCCCGCCATGTCGCTGCTCCACATCGTCTCAGGGCAAGCAGCGGCAAAGACATGGGATTGGTTTTCCTGGAATAAGATCTTGAGTGACAAAGCAGCCGCTGCAGCGCGAGGCCGCAAGAGTGATGGCCCCAGGGATGCCCTGGCGGAGTATCTTATCACGGCAGCAGGTGCGCAGACAGAACAATGGGACCAAGAACTATCACCGTGGCCGTTCCGGGCGCAGGGCCTGCTACAGTCTACAGGTGCGCGCACATGCCTTTGCCATGGTAGATGCGTGTCACCTTCGTAGCTGGGCGCTACAGACCGCGCGCTTCCTGGAGTACTACACGGCTGATGTTGGGGAGCACTTCCGCCCGCCAACAGTTCCTGAAGCAGAGGAGGCAAACAAGGCTGCGCTGCCTGAAGTGTACAGCCCATGCTACGCCGGCGCGACACTTGATGATGCCATCTTCTCATGCCACGGCCCAAAATGCCAAAACCACTGCGTGGGCCAGGGAAGCCGCCGTTGTCCATCACAGCGGAAGATAACCCGCCGCCGCCAACTTCTTCCGTGCCGCCTCTCAAGCGGCGCCGTGCTGCTGCGAGCCCAGCAAATTGAGTGTTTCAAGTGGATGGATGGGAAATGCTCCGATCAGGACTGCCCCTACAAGCATTACTGTGCGTGTTGTGGAAGCACTCAGCATGACTCTCGGCGGTGCGCTAAGAAGCGTGGGCAGTGACAGGAGCTTGAGGAGGCGGCGCTGGAGCAGACTCAGACCAAGGCGCCTGGAATCGGCTTCGAGACGGTGGCGGCATCATTTCAAATGCGGACTGGGTCCTGATTCTGCAGATGATGTGTTCCGAGACCTGCTTTACGTGTGGTCGCGGCGTGTAATGCAGTGGCAGCTGGAGAGGCGGCTGGAGCGGCATGTGGAACTACAGTGTGACTGTGAAAAGCCGTCGCTGAGTGAAGAAGAAGCAGGGATTCTGCGTGCAGATCTTTGTTCCTTTCTGAGTGACAATGGCCTTTCCTGCTCAGCTGCTGTTGCTCCGGGACAGCCGTTTGCATTGGAGTTGTTGCGAGGCATGCTATCTCTCTTCGCGGATGTGGATGTTGGCCTCCCACTTCTTTTGGAGTCGGGCGTCCCGTCAGGGATTCGGAAAACTGATGAAAACTCTTCCACCCTCAGGTGTGTGGCGTCCAGTAGACGTGCCAGAGCGTCCCCCATTAGAATTACTCACGTGGCAACAACGCTGGGGCTCAGCGTTGCAAGATCCGGCGACACTCATGCAATTCGCGACTCGTGGGAGATAGTACAGTTTCTGGAGCCAAATTGCTGTGCAGAATTGAGGAGAGGATAGAAAATGCCGTCACTGCAAGATGTGGCCGAGTTTCGTTGAGTGGCGTTTGGTCAAGGCGGCCAGACACTTTTGGCAGCGGCTGCGCTTTGGTCGAGTGACGACAGGCAAGCTTGGCCCTGCCAACAACCGTGTTATTTGCTGCCAAAAGTGTGTCCGCATGCAGTAAGTAGTGATAGGCCCTGATAGGCTACCTCACGCCTCATGTGCGGTACGATCACTACTGCATGTCATGCGACGTGTCAGCTTGTTGCTTTGACTTCCTTGTTTGATCTGCCGGCTGCTGACTACTGCAGCCAGAAGTTCATCAAAGTCCCGCCCGCCCGCCCCGGGTGAAGGGATATGGTGCAGCGGAGCCGCTGCGGATGATGAGTCGTTGCACCCGAGTGTGCTTCCCTTCAATCGGAGTATATCGGAGTTCTTGAAGCAGGGCCTGGTCCGCCGGTCGGGTGGCGACAGGCAGGCTGGGCCCTGCCAACAATCGTGCTATTTGCTGCCAAAAGTGCGTCCGCATGCAGTAAGTGGTGATCTAGGCCAACCGTGTTGCCGTAGCTACTTGCGAGAGCGATTGAGCCTGCGGAAACCGCATCCCCAGTGATAGGACCCTTGGTGTGATCTAGAGATGCCACCATTCTAACCGGTTTAGGCATCGTCGAAGATCGAAAGCGGGTTTCTGTCATGGTGCCGCGCGCATCCGCCTTGTGACTCGCATCTGTGCCTCCAAAAGTCACAGTTTCGCAACAGTTCCGCGCGTATTTTGGGGTGGGACTCGTGTTACCGCCAAAGGCACATGTTCTGGCGTGCGAGTGGTGTTCCTGCAGTGTGGCGAATTTGTTGCTCCTGAAATGGTTCCATTGGGAGGTGCTTCTGGGATGGAGCATGCAGCGTAGAAACTTGCCCACAAAAATTTTGCTACCCTGGTCAGAGCAATGTAGCATGCGTCCACCGCGAAGGAAATCTGCAAGCCTCACAACTTCAAAGCTGGCACTCATATCCTCGCCTGGCTTGTCCGAGCGTGAGCTGCGGTTTCCCATCTCCAAAACGTGGCGGGAGTTGAGTGCTGCTCCGTTTGTTTCTCCCAGCAAACTGGTCGGGCTTGTTTTGTGCAACATGCTGCAGAGCAGCTGCTTTTGCGAAAGGCCAGGTTCACTTTGTTACCCACGTTCCTGATGAAAACATCTGCCAATGCGTTGCGACACGACGCAGATATAAAGACTTGACTGGGCTTTCGGTGGAGAGTGTCACCTCTCACCGAGGTTCAAGCACAACTGGGGTACGGCCGAGAAGCTTTACAAGTCCGAGGCCATTGATTCCTTCGGGAACAAGTACCTCCTGGGTGTCTTCGAGACCGTGGCCGAGGCAGAGAAGGCTTTCGATGAGTGGAACAAGGAGTACGAGCAGGCCGGCGAGAACGTGCAGGAGTCCCTGAGCGGCTGGGCAAAGCAGCAGGAGGCTGCTCTGGCCGAGGATCAGGACGAAGTGGACCGCCTTCGCAAGGCCCTTGAAGAAGCTCGACGATGAGCAGATCCCGAGCCCTGGGCCAGTTTCTACAGCTTTGGAGCCCGGAATAGTTTTTGCGCTGTAGATCTGGAATCTAGACGTCTTGGAAGGAAGCCCTAAAGTTCTCCACAGCCGTGCGGTCGCTGACAGCGTGCTCATGCACCTGCAAAAAAGAGCAAGCCTGCCTGCTGATCCTTGCAAGCTCCGCTCCAATCGCCAGGGTCTGCGGCAAAGAGCCGGATGAGACCTTCCAAGCTGTAAAAATCCCCTTCTATCATCCTGTGGTTTTGGTTCCGGCAGGCCAAGGCAGCCGGAATGGGATGGTTCGCAGGCAGAGTGTGGCACTTCTCGATTTCGTGCTGTCCGGCTTCCTCAAGAAGTGCCTCCTTGCATCGTCCGCTGGCTCCTGTGAAGGCGATCCCTCATCCAGTTCGTGCGCCCTTCTCACAGTCCATCGTGAAGAAGCACCGCCAAAGGATCCCCGAGCAAAGACATGACTTGCAGGCTGCACGGTAGGGTGAATGCCATGCAGCCTTTCGCGTAGGACGGATTGGCTCATGGGTGGTGCGTGGCGAGACGAGCAGCAGCCAGAGAGCAGAAGCAGAAGCTACTAAGCTACTGTCGAGGCACGGTATGCGGTGTTCAGTGCTGAGGCCCGGGAGGCTGCCCTTCAATCCCTCAGCAAGGTTCGAGAGCCCCAAACCACTGCTGGGTGCTTGCAAAATCTCCTTGGCTCAGGTACGACTCAGATCCAACGCCGCGCACAATGCGAGGTCTCAGAGCCCTGAGGCTGAGACGAGACTGACGAGTGCTATGGTGTTGGGCCAGGCTACGTCTCTGACCCTGGGCAGCCCAAAACTGCGAGCCTGGTCGGGGCCTCGGAGTTGGAGTTCGGGGGTCTGCCGTTCTATGATTGCCGCGGCGCGAGGCTGTCGTGGAAGGGAGCGACATCCGATCAGCGACGACCGTGCAGGATGAGAGCTCGAACCTGGAGAGCACCCCTTCGATGTCGCCGCAGCCTCGGGCGGCGAAAGCCGTACAGCGATGCCAAGAGAGTATTCATTATTCGCCCCAGCTCAGGGCTCAGCGCGTGGATGCCGCAACTCAAGCAGGCAGTCAGCATGGCATAGCAGCGCCATTGCGTAGCCACTTGTCGCTCCATTCGAATCTCTGCGAACTTGAGCGGCGCCACCCGAGCATCCGGGCCGGTGAGGCAAAGCTGTGGCAATTTGTATTCCGCGTGATGGAGAAGGGCCCTGATGGCTGTGTTGGAAGCTCTCAGAGCTGGGCACATGCAAGTGACGATGTGTTGGTCCTCTTCATACTTGGGTTCGTGGAGCGAGGCTGGACAATGTAAGTGGGCATGGGGTGGGGAACCAGGAAGCTTGCGGAGTTGTTAGCTGCATTAGCTGCGCGGCAAGTAGAGCTTCACCAAACTTAGCCCGACCAGCTCCAGCCCGCTTCTTATGCGCTTTCCTTTCGCAGAAAGGAGTTAGGCATCCCATAGCTGACCATCCAAACGGATGAGCATCAGCTGTGCGACCTGTCGTCGGAAGAAAAGGTTTCGGGGTTCGCAAGGAGCCCTGAGTCGTGTTAGTTTCTGCATGGCTGCTGCTGAGCTTGGCTGGTTGTGATGCGGCGGATGATGTTCGCGATCTGTTTCTGTCGACCGGAGGCAGATAGCACGGAGGGGAGGGGAGGGCTTGCAGCAATGTAGCCAAGATCAGTGCAGGCAACTGCATACCAGCATACTGTCAGGTTCTTCTCTCAGCATTGAACCCAGTGGTGTACTTTACGTAGTCGCCTTTATGCACGACCCGTTTCACTCCTGTCGTCAAGATGGCGAGGCACGGTCTCTGCCAAGTGCACCTCTCGTTCGGGGGCGGGGCTTCCGACTTGCGAGGCAGGATGGAGAAGAGGATCTGCCGGCCCAGTGTGGTGCTCGAAAGGGGCTAGCATCAGCTGCAATTTTTAATTCAGAGGGGGTGGGGTAGACTTTCCGAGGCCTCCAGCTGACACCATCGCAGGAGCTGAGATCGAAGCAGCCCTTCGGCTTGCACTGTGTGCGACATCATAGCATGTTTTGGACTCTGTTTGGCTGACAGGCTGCCGATGGTGATTCTGGGCCAGGTGAGGGGAAAATTCAAGGTTCGACTTTGCCCGGTGCTCGATGAAGGGCAGAGTGAGAGTGTTTCTGCACTGCATAGCTTCGCCAATCGCGAGGCCTCCCATTGCAATCGGGGCATCAGTGCCACCAGAAGTGCAGATGCTCCGATGCACACAAGACATGGGCTGATGATGGCACGGTGGTCGTGCTTCAGAGATAGCAGAAAGCATCAACGAAGGACTGATGCCAACGGCGGAAAAGCCGAAAGTGGTACTGTGGAGGACCGGTGTGCTGCATCGATCTGGGATTCTTTCATAAAGCTGTGTCCGCACAACACGGAAGCAATTGAACTTCGTGTGGGAGAGTTGCCGCAAAGGGGAGGCGAGCAGGCAGGCACCGGTAGCATGCACTTTTGCTGGCCGTGGTCAAGGCCAGCAGCAGCTCGAAAGACATGAATGCGCTGGATGTGACGTTGCCGGATCCCCTGCATGGGCACCCATCGCGTGGTGCATTGCTTGATGAGCTGTGCCCGTGGCAGTGATCCGCAGGCCACCCATCTCGTCGGCTGCGGCAGACCCGCAGTGAGCAACAGAGACTCCGCTCGTCCGGAACCGGGTCTCCCTGAGCGCTCCAAGGCCAAGGCCTGCGGAGGAGCGAATGGTGCTCGCAGATCTCGCAGAGGCAGAGGCGCTTCAGCGGCTCCCTCGCGACAATCCTCCGCTTCGGTCGGCAGAGAGAGTGTGCGGCCCCTGGTCGGAGGTCGAGATCTCCCCGGCCGCCGGCAGCGTTCCAGAGCCCCAACGGAGGCGGGGTGGGGGGGGCATTTCCCTGCAGCAGATGGCTTTAGATTTGTTTTTTGCGTCCCCGCAAGGAGCTCTGCTCCAAGAGCTGCGGCCGCGGCCTAAAGTGGAGCTCAGCGGATCTCTGCTCTCTGCTCGGGATATGTTCCGTAGACCTCAGAAATGCTTCCTTCTGAGCATGGGGCTGAGAAATGCCCCCATGGCAAAGCCGCAGTTGATGCTTCGGACTTCACGATTGATTATCTTGACGATGTTACTCGTACTCTGCATTACGTACTGTGAGAGAACATGCCTGCTGCCATGGACTTCCGTTTTATCCTTGTCGCAGTCGTTTGCCTCCGTTGAAACAACCGAAATATGTGGAGTCTTGGAAATTGCGCAGCATTGGAATCTTCCTTCTCCAGAGACAGTTATTTAGCAATATGCTATTTTGGTCTTGGAATCATGCCCGAAGTGGTCCCGTGAGAGATTGCAAAGGGTTGTCGTGGGGGCTAAATGCGGAATCCTTAGCGTCTTGTGTCATCCCGTGGGTGCTCCAGTGGTTCGCAAGGCAAGCAGCACAAAGCAGGCGCGAGAAGATGCCAGAAGGCGCATTTTGGCCGCCAGGCCGGGGGTGAGGAGAATTTCGATTGAGGGTCGACTAAAACTCGAGTCGCCACCTTGACTGCATCACAGCCGTCGGGTTTGGTTTGGTTCAGCATCGGCTCCCTACCCACTCAGTTTCTTGCGTCTCACCAAGCATTGCTTCACAGGGAACAGGGAACTGCTCCGACCTGGCAGGGAAGAGCTTCAACGACGGGTGGCTGAAGCCACAGAGGCGCGGCTGAAGCGACAAGCGGAGGCGGGACATGGCGGGACCAGTGAGTGGGCCTTCAAGTGCGGGAGGTGACGATTGCATCAGAGGTGTTGCTCGAGCACGTTCGTGCTGTCGTCTGCTTGCGTTCCAGTTTTCTCTACCCGGAGGGGCGTACCTCCCGTAGCGCAACGCGTCTCGGTTGTTCGGCGACTCCTCTGCCCCGGTGCACCGCTGTTCAACTTGCCTCTGCAGGCAGAAGCCCATGCACGCGAACGTGCGGCTGTCGGCTCAGGGGAGCTGAGGGCTGGTGGAAGAATTCCTTGGTTTCCGAGCTTTTCAAAGTCACCTTGACTTCTCAGGAGCAAGCCCAAAAACTGGCACAGAAAAGATTGGCCTAGAGCCCAGCTGCACTCTGCAGACGCTTCCAGGCTCCAAGCTCCGATTTTTGGAGCATGTGCTCTGTATTCAGGCTCAGAGGAAGAAGAAGTCTGAATCAGCAACGTGCTACTGCCATGCTTGCGATGCAAATGCATGTTGCGCCCACGATGCAGAGGGTCGCCGTGCAGACCATTATCGCGTGCGGAGAAAGCCCTACACATGTACGGTGACCACTTATAAACATGTGGAGGGCAGGCTCCGGCCACGTGTTGAAGCTTTTTGGTGACGTGAGAGATCTTCAGATGTGATTTGACCGCATATTTAAAAACAGTAACCGTATGATTTCCCTGATTGGAAGATTCATTGAGAAAGACGCGTTGCTCCACAGTGATTTGTTGTAGCCCCTATCGCCAGGCCGGACTCAAAGCGAGGTCCGGCACCTGACATGTATTGCTTGAAGATACCACATTGTTACCAAATCCCCGTTGGTGTTCCGGCGTGTGTTCATGCGGAGGTGAGGCGAGCACCGAGACGTCAGCTCCCCATGCGAAAGGCAAGCAGTCGAAAGGACCGGGCGCTCCACACCCACTGAGGTCCACATCTAGCCCTGGGCGCAGTTCATCTCCAGGTGCGCTTCCAGACTTTCCTTTCTAGAAATCCTCTCCTACTCCCGTCCACGAGCAACAGCACCAGCATTTTTCAAACTTCCACGTCCATTTGCTATGGGTCAGGGTATTTATTCGTGGGATTTTGAGGTGTCCCTTGACGCCTCTTCTTCCTGTATCTTCGGAAGCTGCAGCTTCACAGCTGTTTTGAGGATGGGGGTGACTATGGTGAGTTACTGAGGGATGGTTGATGTGGTGGTGCGTGTGCTAGGCATGCACTTCGTTCGATTTCGCACACACAGAGAGTTGTTTCTCTGTGTGTTTCCGAGGCAAGAACGTGCCGCAGGCCCACCCTTCCGCCAGTGCAAGCCGAAGAGGTTTTGTGATGTTCACCATCATGCGATGCCTGTCAGGATCTCCCCGGGTTGAAACCGGCCAAAGCTAGGGTGAAGAGGAAGATTCAGAAGCGCCTGCCTGAGTGTTCCGGGCTCTCTGCGAAGTGTTCAGCCTGCTCTCGCCAGGGCGCGGGATGCCCAGGAAGCGCGCTTGAAGGAGATTGAGGAGGACCGACGGAGGCGCGGCAGGAGGTGACATGTAGGGTCTGGCAGCTGTGCGAGCGAACATGAGAGTCGTAAAGACTACCTCACTCGTAAAAGGTGAGACAGGCTTCATGCACTGAGATCCTAGCAGGATGTTTGCTGCAGTTTGTCTGCTGGCATGAAGTGACGTTGGGCCAGGAGCCAACAGCGACAGCAAGCACAAGCAGAAGCAGTGCCATCCTAATGATCCATGAGCATCGGAGGAACTTGATCAGCTGGGCGGGCGGGGGCAAATTGTGCGTGAAGACTCGAATAGCAACATGTCGGCAGACCCACAATTTGAGACCAGTGACAGTGAGGCAGAAGTACTTCGTGCTCAGGCAGTGCCGAGCTGAGCATTCCCAGCATAGTGCTCGACTTGTCCCGCTCCCAAGCCTCCGAACCCGGAGCCTCATTGACAGATGCCGCTGCCGGCTTTCCTTGTTATTGCTGTTCAGGTTTTTGTGTTACGTCGCTGTGCTCGTTTGTTTGCATCATATCAGAATTCGAGGCGCGACGTGCAGGCGAGCGGATGCGGAGAGAAAGGCAAGCCGAGGCATGGTCGGAATTTTCTGAACTCTCAGTACTCTGTCAGCACTATTCTTATTGTTACGTACCCGTATTATTATTGCTATTGTTACTGTTATTCTCAGGTTTACCATTAGTAAATCAGTAGTTCTCCCATATTGTACTCCTATAATTACGATTGTTATGCTTCTTGCTGTTATTGTTATTGTCACGGTTGTTGTTATTGTCATTGTCATCGTGATGGTTGTGGTTGTTGTCATTGTTATTTCGCGGCTGCGGCTCCCCTGGACTTGTGCTTCGTTTATATACCTCGACGAAGTGGTTCTGGCCGGGAGAGACGACCGGGCGCCCTGCACGGAAGCTGGCCCACACGTGGAAACAACCAAGTGAGAGCTGGTGCAAGCGATTGGGCCTTTCTCGCAAGCAGGCCCTGCCGGCTTCCCGGCGGGCTTTGTGGTGAGCGATGTCGGGAACACACCGCGCTCCTGCAATCGGTATGCACTGGAAGACAAGGTGGCCAAAAGTCAGTCATGCTTTGAAGCCCTGGCCGGCCACACGGCTTTCTGCAAACTGGCTTACGCCGCTCGAGCTACGCCTCCCTCTACCCATCGGGAGGCGTTGGCCGTGTTCGAGGGGGGCTGCGCTGTCCAAGGGGCTGACGGACCGCTACGGGGACCATGGATGCGCCCGTCCCTGTGGCGGGGACCGGGTGGCTCAACACAACCGGCTGCGCAACCTGCTGCTTGTTCACGCGGCTTGCGCACGATCTTGACCGTCTTGCACAGTTTTTTCATGCCGTATTCCTTGAATTCTTTCGCCAGCCTGAACCGGAGGGGCGGTCCAGCCACACTCCGTGGTTCTGCTGGTTCTCGATCCCCTGCTGGGTGTTTAGTCATGTGCCTCGAAGGATATCGAAGGATGAGGTTTTCCCACCCTTCGTGTTCTTGTTCTTCTTGTTGAGACACCCCAATGTTCATTTTTCCCTAAGTAAGTAGCCTGGTGGGAAGTGTCGTGATGCCAAGCGCCGGGTATTGACTCTGGAAAAGAAAAGTGACTCTGCAGAGTTGGACCATGGTGCGAGCAGCTACTTGCAAGCGGTTCCCCTATAAGCCTCGATGCTCGGCGAAATCGTATTTCTACTCCGGGTTCTGGGCACACGCCATTGCCCACCATAGCTGTGAGCTAGTCATGGAAAAGTATCTGTGGTCAAACAGTAATAACTGTAATGGACATAAGAGAGGATGACTTGTTACTATGGCCAGGCTTAGAAGAGGTAATCAAGTCGCATGAATACAGCATCGGCCTTGATCTATGTGGGTGGGGGGGGGGGACGATCCTCGTCGCGACAACTGTTGTTGTTATCCTCGCTGTGTTCATCCTGATGATTATTATGACTGTTGAGAATCACAATCCAGACATCCGGCGCCAGGCCAACGCAAGGGCCCAGCGCGACCACGACCTGCAGCAGGACCCTGCGGGTGGCATCATGGGCGTTTGGGGGTTTGGGGGAAATGTATGTCGAGCATGTCTTTCTCAATTTGCCTACTTAAGGGTGTACTCGGAGTGTAAGTACTGGGTGTTGCAGCACTTTCAGTTATTTAGTTGTTCTCAAGTCAATGTGCCGACACAGCTGTTCCACTGTTTGCCGTGTAAATCTTATCTTCCAACACAGCTGCGGGCATTTAGCTTCCCTTCGTCCAGCTTCCTTTGCTTGTCCATACCCTTGTTTGTTCAAAAGTTCCAAACGCTATCATTCGTGTACTTCCTGTCACTCTGTTGTTGTAAGCATTTGGGCTTGTGCTATCTTGCTTGGGTCGATGAGCTGAGAACTCTGTGGCCCGCAGGCACGCGAGCGGCAGCAATTGTACAGGACAGGCCCTGTTCAGAAGCGGTTTGCATTCGTCATACCGTAGAACTAGGAGGGTGTGGGGTTCGGAAACTTTTGGATCATTGGACCTTAGGCCTGGCCTTCCGGAAAGTGATTTGGCTGTTGGTTCCTCTCATGCTTGCAAGTGACCTACCCTGCTATGAAATCTGGCGGTGGGAGGAGCCCGAAAAAAATTGCCGAGCTCATCGCTGCCGCTGAAGCAACTCAGAGAATCTTGTGACACACGATTTTACCGGAAACTGTGTGTGTGTGGCTTGCGGGCATCGGGTTTCCTGAAGCTTGAGTGCAAGTGCAGCTTTCAAAGCTGCTAGAGTAGCTGAGTAGCCTGCCGCACACCCTGGCAAGATATTGCAACAAGGACTCGAATTGTCCAAGGACGTTAGATACCAACATGCAGCGCCGAACAGCAACACATTGCAGCATTACACATTAGGCACGCAGCTTTAACTTCTGCATATGGCTCAACAACTTTTAAAGGGAAGCATCCCCGGAAAAGAGTGGCTTGTGCCGGGAACGCATCTGCAGGGGTTTACTGCAGGTTTCCCCACCAAGTTTTTTGCAAATTCATGATTTGGCGGATTAGCATGTAAGGAATGAGGGGTCAAGTTTATTGCGAGGATGCGCATTCGCTTGAGTGCTTCTCTTGCGAGGAGCGGCAGAGACCATGGATGGATAGAGGAACTTTTCTAGTGCCAGGGGGTAGAAGGTGACGCGGGGAGGCATACACATGATAAGAAAGAATGGCAGTAGAAAGGACGCGCGAAAGGAAGGGGTACGCAAAGAAACATTTCACAACCTACAAGAAGTTCATGTGTCCTGCCTCCCGCCGACAACTCTTCCCGGACTCTGTCCCGGAAGCAACGTGACAGCAAGCCTCGTGGGGCTTGCGTCAAGGTTGAAACTCCTTCGGTTCTGAGGCCAGCGTAGCCCACAGCAATGTCGAAGAGCGCAAGCATGCGGCGAGACACACGGAGCACGTGCCCGAGCTTGTCATTCAGAATTGAGTCTCACCGGCTTGGAGTTGGCGTAGTCAAGATGTGAGATGCCTTCAGAGGTCTTATCTTCAGAAGGAGCGTCAACGTGCGAGGCCCGCCACTCGCAGTCCGAACAGAAGCCACTCAAGTGCTGAGCTTGTGGTCATATCAAGTGTTTCGCTATGCCATCTGAGTGATGTATGCCTCACCACTGGCCGAAGCGTTTGGCTGACCAGCCATCCATCTTACTGTACCGGAGCTCCAACTTGCCTTTGCGGCAAAAAAAAATTGTCGTCCTTGCCATGTCATCTTTTGTGCCTCGCATGTGCATCGTGCAGGCAGTTTCAATTCTCAGCATAGTCTGCACTGTGCGAGCGGAAGAGGACTCGGAAACTGATAATCAGCTGGCAATGCTACAAATTAAAGCGGAACGCCACCATCAACTGGACATTGACGAGAATGTGCACTCCTGGTCGGTAGTCTACGAATTTCCGCTCCCCGAGGATCTCGCTCAGGTGCCATTTTGGGATCCAGAGTTCAAAGCGCTGAGTGAGTCTGCACGGAAGTATGCACTACAGCAAGTTCCTGGCAAGGGGGGAATCCTCGACTACCAAATTGTTCGATCGGCCAAGACGCAGAAGCTTCATCGCGTCTGGGGCGGACCAGCTAAGAAATGTGGATACTGGTGGACGCTGTCGCATCCTTTAGCGATCGCGCCGTCAGGAAATCTTACCCTTAGTGGCTTTCAGGAAGCATGCGGCGTATGTCCCGAGTGGAACACGGCAGCAGTCCTCGAGACGTGTTATAGCAAGCCAGGCTGGGCTTTCGTTGTTGGACAGGGCAACTCGGCAACGTGTCAGAACGGGGAGACCTTGTTCCCGCCGGCAGCTCTGCTTCAAGTCAATGGGGACGTGTGCGGCAACTCTTTGACCTGCGAATCTTGCGACCTCATTCACGACTTTGACAAATGCATGGCCCAACTCAAGATATGAGGTAGCATCCGCCAGCTTGGTCGAGCGGCTTGTGCTGGCTACTAGGACCTTGATGACAAGCCAGCCTGTGACAGTCCGGTCCAAAGAGCACCGGACATGTACTTCCGGCCAGTGACGCTTTGTGAATATTTCGCTTTCTGCCGTCCAGGAGTGTCGTTGCCAGACAAGATGCCTGAACTCGCCATAGTTCACCATTGTTAGGATGTGTTAGACCTCATTCATGTATGGGTTGGAATCTAGAGGCTATATTGGGGCTGTCGGAGGGTCACGTCCCTTCATGTTAGACCCTGAGCAGGAACGCGGGTTCGGAATAGTCCAGGGTCTCAAGTTTTATGGTGTTCCCTTTGTCGCTTAGAAGCCTAACTCAGATTCCGTGTATGATTCGGATGATCCTCTTGTCACTTAGAAGCCTAACTCAGCTTCGGTAAAGGACGTCTAAGACCATAGGATGGCCCTCAAGTGCCATCGCTGGGCCTGGGAGGCGCCGCCTGGATGGCGAGGGCGATGACCGGCCTTTTGGAGAAGCGCTCCGCAAGCCCGAGGGGGAGGCGCCTTTTCTGGGCTGGGACGGGCATTCCAAAACGGGATCTTAAGCGACCATCCACAAATCATCGCAAAACCTTGTGCGTGGAAAACACGGGCCCAACAGCTTCCCTTTCTTTTCTGCAAACTCCAGGGTTGGGGATGTTTGAGGCTTATATGGGCTTGCACAGGGCGCTTACCTCTGCATGAGGACATTTATCATGCTCGCTTGTCTTCTCAGGTCCGCCGGGGTGAGCCCGAAGATGAGGATGCGCTCACGCCCCAGCACGTACGCAGAAGCTCCGCGAAATCCCGCAATTCTGCTGTCAACCGACGTTCTAGATCTACCAGTAGCTCGACCGGTTGCAAGCCTTCCGACGGGCTGTTGCATGTCGGCTGCGGAGGAAATGCACGAAAGCATTCAGAGCAAGGTATATATATATATATATATATATATATATATGTGCTGACATACCCGCAAGTCGCTTGCAGGGCTCGCTTGCCTCAATTCCAAATGTCCCGAATCCTAAGACTAAGAAGGGTCGGGCACAGAGCTCATGCGATCATGGGGCGAAGCAGCTCAAGCTCCAGCTCAGCTGCGGCCAAAAAGAAGAAGAAGCGAAAAGCAAAGAAGGCCTGTGCCCCAGAATTGCGACAACATCTACAGTGTGTTCAGGACTAAGTTTGAGATGCTCGGCACTCAGCTTTGACTGAGGCGGCACGAGATCAGGGAAAGCACAAGAAGGACTGAACCGTGCAGTCCATGCCCGACACAAACCACAGTGCGAGATGAGCCATCAGGCGAAAAAGGAGAAGTCCGTCGACATGGGCAGCTCGGTTTTGTGCTACATGTCTCAAGCAACCCTTTTGTCCGTTCAGCTGCTTGTCCAGGTTTCGAGGCTGCTTTGGCTGCAGCGGCTAGAGAGCGCGCAGCGGCAGCGTCGTCGACTGGCGGCCGCTGGCGCCAGAATTGTGTAAAGCTTTTCCGTGTCGTTGGCCTCAAGTGTTTCGGGGTCCTGATACAAGCTGAGATCTAGTCTCCGTGTGAAGGTACTGACATGAACGAGAAAGTCAAGCCCAAAGAAGGCTGCATGTGGTCTTGTCCCAGCGAGATGATGTCATTGGCGAAATGGTGCAGGCTCTGGCAAAAAGCTCCGACCCGCAACGCAAGGACTTGATTCGACAAAGGCTCCTTTGCTCTCATCGAGCAAGTGCGAGGCCGGACCACACGCTCCTACCTTAAATTTGATTCTGAGTTTCCAAGTACCACGTGCGGAGGTTGTCGATGCCTTCTCTTACGACCCGACAAAAAAGCCGGATGCAGCAAACTCAGCTTGCGAGCCTTCGAAGTCCATCCTTTGCAGCTTCTATAAATTCAGGCCGACTATTCCAAACCGGACCCGCTGTCAGTGGCCAACTCCGGCCTAGACATCCAGCGCCGTACCCTAGCTACAAGTTTCCTCGAGACTTCTTTAGGCTTCTGGGTTGTGTTCTCACCCAGGCATCTACGAGCATGATCGGGGTGAGTACAATGCCGACCAGCTGCGGCGCTGCGACGCCATCGCACAGGGCACCAGGCCCCGCACTTTTCTTGTGGTGGTAGGCTTTAGGGAGTTTAGGGTTTGTGGTTGAACCCTTGCAGTCCACCAAGTACCGGCCAAGGGATTTCAGCCAGCGTGCTTCTCGCTGCAGTACTGTGCAACGAGGACCTCCTGCATGCTGCAAAGTTTTGCCAGCTTGTCCGTTTCAAGCCATTCTGGAGGCAGCAACTCAGTTGTCCACCTGATGTCGCATTCCGGCATGCTCGTTTACCTGAAACCATAGGTGGCCATAGTCAGAATTATCACCAGCCAGTCAGAAACGGATATATGCACAGACCGGGACGCGCAAACCTTTCGTTAATGAATCGCACATCACTGTGGTCTGCAGCTGTCATGCACATCCACTTGTCGCGAGCTTACCAGGATCGCAGGCAGGCATGCATCTGTCAACGCTGTCACACGTCTTCCGATCAGGCATCTGCCCCGCTGACGGAGTCGGAGCTGTGTCAGATGTGGCCAAAGTGCCAGAGGTCGAAAAAAGCTTGTTGTCTTTGCGCTCTTGCGCGCGAGTCCTTGGGCTTCTTCGCTGTACGGGGTAACAACACTCTGGCCATCTCCAGCCCCTGGCAGAACCAGGGAGTATTTGTCTTTGATGCAACTGTACATTGCAACAAGCTCGTCGTTTCGGAGCTTAGGGGTAAAAAAGCAGAGGGGCAGCACATCCGCGACGATTGCCAAGTTTGCCCAGGCTGTTTGCGAAAACAGTCCACGCGTTAACCGACGAGGATTGGAAGCCAGTGCCTGAAATGTCCAGCATCTGTGGGTCGTCTGCTTGCTGGGACGACATCGCTTGGCTACTGAGGGTGAACATCAAGTTCTCCTGACCCCCTTGCTGGTGATGGCTCGTGGTGTGGGGCACTGTAGATAGCACCCTTGCTGAACAGCTGATTTCGGCATGGTCGCTTCAGGCAGCTTGGTTGTGATCGTTGCGATGCGGCCCCAGCTAAGGCTCTGCTGTGAGCCAACGAGGAAGAATCTCAAGTGGCAGCAGCTGATTTAAGAGATGCAGGTTTTGGACACTCTGGTCCGTGTTGCGTGATCTTTAGAACAGGTCAGCTCCGGGTCAGCAAAGCTGACGTGCTGGCATGGGTCGGTTGGCATGCTAGCCTAACAGGAGCTACTCTGAACAGAAAGTAGATTATATTTTGAATTTCTGAATTTAGAGTGGCATGGATTGGCCCATAATAGCAAGCTGATTTAGATAGATTCGAAATATGACCCAATATGAATATATATATATATATATATATATATATATACGTATTTATATATATATAGAGAGAGAGAGAGAGAGAGAAAGAGAGTAATACATTACAGGCCCTTGTTTTTCGAGCAGAAACGGTTTTTTTATAGGGTTTTAAGTACTTTTGGTGGCATTCCTTCATAAGCATGAGAATCATGATGAGTAGGGAACGTATTTACTTGTAGAATATGCCCCGTACTGGTATGATCTCGATAGAACACTATATATGATAGATTAGAATCAAAATTTTTATACGTATATGTATATCGTATTTCATATAATTAATTGAGTTTAGGTGAAATTGACTAGGGAATTTATAAATTAATATGTATTCTAATATATCTAATTAAATATAAATGTATTATATATCGAGATCGTCTAAACTTGTAGAAATTTAGAATTTAGTTCGCGACTAACTTAATTATTGAATTTATTATTTGAAAGATATGGGAATATATGCGTATGATATAAATTATATGATCCGTATCTTTTAGATATTTTCATACTTTCTATATGAAAGTTCGTGTATGAATTATATTTTAATGATATATGCGGACGGTAGTATCTTCTGATTTTTTTTTTTCATAAGAAGGAAATTTCTATATCGTATGATTTCAAATCATAAAACCTATGATATTCTATTATCATTTAGTTTTAAATACGGATTCTC